CTTATTTATCAGGGGTCGCCAAAGCGGAATAAACCAACAACTATTCCAGCATATGTTGTACACAGCAGGTTCCCTTCCAGCTGCAACCCAGTACTGGGACACACCCATAGACTCACATTTACATGTATTGTACCATTTGTGTCCTTAACTATGATTAATTTTATTGACTTATTTTTATCATTCAGTTACTGTACTTGAATGCTGTTAGATTTAGGTAACGATAAAACGCTTTATTTCAATTGTATGTTTTTCTTGATTGTATTTAGATTGTTCATTCATTCATTCATTTTTTTTTATATGTTTTACACAGCGGATACCCTTCCAGCTGCAGCCCATCACTGGGAAACATCCATACACACCAATTCACAGTCATACACTACAGACAATTTAGTTTACCCAATTCACCTCTACCATATGTCTTTAAACTTGGGGGAAACCGGAGCACCCGAAGGAAACACGCGCAAGCACAGGGAGAACATGCAAACTCCAAGCAGAAATGCCAACTGACCCAGCCGGGACTCCAACCATCAGCCTTCCTGCTGTGAGGAGACAGTGCTAACAACTGAGCCACCAGCTTTTTTTTTTTAAATTCCTGTTGTTCAAGGATGAATTTTCATAATTATTACCCATCATCATCCAACATTATCATTCAGAAATATTTTTGATATGCTGATTGCTCAAAAACCCTTTATTGTATTTTAAGATTATTATTATTATTATTATTATTATTATTATTAAAGCAGGAAACAGCAAATATTTGTTCCAAATATACATTTATTATTGGAAACTGATAAACTGCTAGGTGTTCTCTAATGAACAGATTTTTTTCTATATGTAATTCTTTATTACTTCCTACTCTTTATTACTGTGATAACTTTTATCAAAACTGTTTTAGTTTTTTTCCTGTACTGAACACAAAATAAGATATTTTAAGCTAAAGAATGTCAGGAACTGTTACCCATTGACATCCATAGTATTTTCTCCCTACTGTGGGTATACTGGTTTCCACATTCTTCAGGGCCCAGTTTTTCAAAAGTAATCCAGTGGGATGACAGATTGGATCAAATCTTGGAAATGGGTTTTTCAAAAGTATCAGAGGGATTTTGAATTAATATCTGACCATGTAATCCAATCTTACATTTGATTTGGATCAAACCTGCCCTTTGGGTAATTCAAAACTTTGAGCTCAGATTGGGATCTATTTAATAAAACAAGGATTTTCCTGAATGCATCACAAGGGTGGATTCAGTAAAAAGGTTTTATTTTTTAAGTGAATGATCACAAACTTAATGGCTACTGATGATATATAGATTACTTTATATTTGAAAGGAAGCATGTCACATCTAATGAGTTATGGTAAACAACAACAAACCAATAGCAAAGCAGTATCAGAAGAACAAACTAAAAAATGTTTAATGTTTGTTGCTTGCAGTGTTTCTGTTTCTTACAATTAAAACAAACAATGGCTGTTTTGGCCTGCTTCCACTGAGAGGTCCAGTACGGGTCACCTTCATCAGGCTTGCATTTCCACTAACAAAAGGGTACCCTTTTGGTGGGCGTGCTTTATGACAGAAAGTTTCATACGTCATTTTTACTCGAGTAAATGTCAAAGTAAAGCCGTACGTGCCGTTCACATATCATGAGAAGCACTTCTCTCAAAACCGATGCTTTATACACATAAAATACTTGTGTATAAATGCTCAATACTAACCTTTCTATGAACATGATTGAATTATAACTGCATATCAATGATAGTGCGAAATAGCCTACTGTAACGTCTGCGATTATATGAAATAAATAAACAAATGCAACACATATGAACACATACAGACCCTTACAGTCTCCGATATGCTACCAATTACAGAAAAACTACACACATTTAGTCTTTATTTGAGTTAAAAAAAAAAACATGAAATATAGCCCAGTCAGTGCAAACCTGTCATATGTGTCTTTAATCTTCAGCAGCACATATAACCTCTGTTGCAGAGTAATTCCATTAATCCGAGTTTATAATAGTCCAAAAGGTGATGATGATAATAATTAAACACGGCAGTTTGTTAAACAAGCATCATTTGCTCCTTTGTTTTTTTGTGCTTCACTCTCTCGTTTGTGCCTTTCTGAAAGAATCAGATATCAGAGCGCTTCAATGTTCATACACACCTTATTAATGTGAAGAATTACGTGACGATTTTCTGTGACCAATAGCATTCATGTTAATCAGGCCCGGATTGGCTAATCGGGAGGACCGGGAGAATTCCCGGTGGGCCGGTCCGTTTTTTGGCCGCGAGGGCCGGTGTCCCTAGCTCCAGAATCTGTTGCTCTCAGCAGTCATACTTTTTAAATTAAATTTTTTTTTTTTACTTGACCACAGTCTTCTTATGCATTATTTTACCGCAGCTCTGCTCTTTTTATCTATTTTCTCCAGCCTGGTGATCAGGATGCAGCCTGTAGGTGAATGATGATATTACTCAGACGTCCAGTGGTTAGCACGTTGGGTTACGACGCTGCGGAACCGGGTTTGATCCTCGTCTGAATAGTTTATTTTTTATATTGTTAAGACATATTACTGTTATGGTTGTTGAAAATTTGAAGTTCTAAAGCAGCTGTTTTCTCAAAAAAGACGTGATAGTGTAAATAGAAACTGAATTGGAAATGCCCTTATTTTAATATAGTCAGTCGTGAACTGAGGTGGGCCGGTCTGAGGCTTGAAACTCCAGGGCTGAAAAGGAGTCCCACTCCGGCCCTGATGTTAATGTAGAGCGTTTATGTAGCTCCACCTTTTGGCACCCTTTTCTTGTGCTAGGTACCCTTTCGAAAGGGTGCCAAAAAAGTGGTACAGTCAGTGGAAATGGGCTACATTTCATACAGTCATTTTAGGCCACTGGTATTTTGTCTACTTTGCTAAGCCAGTAGGCTGTACTGTTCATTGCATTTAAGGCTCGGGTAAACAGAATTTGGTAATCCTAAAATTAGTTTTTTTGTATCTCAGTGATCCAACCCAATGTTCCTTTAAAACCTGTCATAAAAGTAAGATGGATCAGATAATTCTGGTTAGCAAAACATGGGATTTCCAAATCTGGACCAATTTGATCAAGATTAATTTTTTTTTTCTGGGCCCAGAATATCAAAAAAGGGAAAAAAAAAAAAAATGAAATCACATGAGGGAGAGTTACTTTAAATTTTGGGATGAACCATGCCTTTAAGGACTTTGATCAATGAGCTATATGCACAACTAGTGTTTTTTACAGAAAATGATGAACTTCCAGTGAAAGGTTTATGTGATTATTTTCAATTTCATAAGGTTCCTTTTTACAGCATCAATGTAGTAACGTAATTCAAATATAATCAGTTAAATAGACATTAAGCATCCATTTAATTGTTAAAGCATGAAAAGAGACGAAAGACTGCTTAATTGCCGGCACCGTCATTAGCAGCAGGCCAGCACAGAAATTTCATTGAAAATACTGGGGTAAAATTAATTTCTTTATTTTAAAGACATGATATGGAAAAATATAATTTAATGCAGTGCTCCTTGTTTGGTCTGATACCCACTTTATATTGTATCTCAGCCAGGCAGTGAAGATCATATTTTGCATGATAGGCCTACATTAAAAAAACATCAACTAAATAATCGGCCTGTGTTTATTTACAAATGAGTGTTCTCGTGTGCTTATATATACTGTAAAACAACCTTGGGTCAAAAAAGTACAGAAATAAAACATTATTAGCCTATTATTCGTTTATATAGATTTTCAAAAATATTTTCATATTTTTACCCAGAACATTACTTTTTCAAATGTTTTAACCAAACAAAATATGAAACTTTAGGAAAATCAACACACGTATATTTGTTGAACCGCTTCGGTTTGAAACTAATAAATCTGAACGTAGCAAGCAAAAAATAAAAAGGTTTGGTGTCACTGAAGGGACACTACAGTACATTAGACAAAAAAGGAACACATTGTGAAACATCACAATGTAACAAAGGGAGCAAAAGGGCACAACCTTTGACGGATGAGCCTGAGACTCGCCACCGCTGATCAGGGTCTGAACGGCGTGTTCCTCCGGGCTCCGTGAGTTAATGACCGTAAATTTACCGTACACAGAACTCAATCTCGATCGGTCGCGTTTAATTTGATTTCATTACAAAACCCGGCAGCTTGAAAGTGTTTGATAATTATCGGAGTTGTTTTGGGTCGTCGTGCCAGGCTGTCAGAAAAGGGCAGTGATCATTACCTCAGAGACGCAATGTTCTTTACGCCGAGCGCCCAGTGTTTTATACAGGGGAAGATCAGGAGGATAATCAGCGGTCAAACCACTCACAAAACACAAACACACAGCTAGCACAACTCACGTGAACACCGGCAAACAAGTTACCTCTGCTGGCTACTAAGAAAACGTTACTTTTCGAAGTGAACATACGAAACGACATGATTGCATTTACGTGGTGATGGGTGCTTGACCTTTGGTAGTTTGGTGCAAACGAACGAGTGAAAGCGGGAACACATTAGCAAGGGGAAGTAGCCATTATCAGTAAATGGAAGTAAACAGTAGAAATAATAGCATTTACCGTAGGTGTTTACAAGTGACTGAGTAAAAACAGGTCGTTAAAAGACAAGCTAGCCGCTTTGAGATGATGGTCTGATGCAGTGCAACAGCGCCACCTAACGGGCAACTGTAGTATGATGACTATTCAAGTGTACTGAAACTGGAAGGATTAGTTCTGCCAGGGCAAAAAGCAAATATGCTGTTAATTTACCTTAGTATAACAATAAAAAATGTTTAGCTGAAACCGTTGTCCTTAGTGATTCATTTGAAATTAAACCAAGCATATAGAAAGCAAAGTAATTTAATTTAATAATGTAAGTGTTGTGTTATGCTTCTTAAGACCTCAATGTATCACCAGGACCCAAGGGAATTAATATAAATTTGCTTGGATGTTTTTATGACTCTCAAAGTGCTACTAGCTGCAGACTTGCATTTTCAGAATCACCAAAAACTTTTCCATAACGTTTTTTTAATTAAGAGCAAATTTAAGTTTCTCTGTGAACTGTCCCTTTAACAAACACTAATGCTGTTTGGAAAACAAAACTACACTGTATTATTGTGACTGGCAGGTTTGAGTATGAAAGTATGACATGAATACAAGAATATTTATAAAAATCAGACACGTTACAGAATTCCCTGAGTTTTCTATTATATTTAAAATGTTTCAGTCTGACAACAAGCATAATAAGAAAATGGTTAAAAAAATTGAAAATAACCTCATAAAATCAGACAAGTTCTCCTGGATGCCAACATGGTGGAAAAAAGCCATCAATGAGGGATAAACACTGATCTACTGACTCCAGATGAATGAGCAAGAGTCTCCGCAAAATGAACATGATGCACATTTTTAAAAGCAGAGTGTAGTTGAGCTGAAAGGTCAAGCATCAGAGCTCTCCTCTGATCTCTCCTCGTTCGCTACTTTCCAGTTTTTCCTCTTTTTCCTTTGAGGCTCAGTCAGTGTGTCTGTTTCAGGACACTCTCTTTTCCTGTGGGTTTTTGGCTTTGTGTCTGAACGGCTGTCCTCTGTGCTGCTGTCCTCAGTTCTGTCTTTGTTTTTGTGCTCTTTTTTCTTATGTTTGCTTTTACTCCCCTTTCTCCTCTGTTTCCTCCTCACGGTCTCCTCTGCATCACTGCAGGTCTCTGAGCCAGGCGCCGCCGTCTTCCTTTTCTTCTTCTCTTTCTTCCTTTTCTTCTTCTTAGATGACTTCTTGGAAGATTTCTCCAAGTCAGCGTTCAGTTTGTTCTTGTGTTTTTTCTTTCTATGTTTACTATCACTGCAAGCTTTCTCTCTGGAAAAAAATGAATAATATAGAGTTAAACAAACCAAATTAAAATATTTTAGTTCTATCTATCTATCTATCTATCTATCTATCTATCTATCTATCTATCTATCTATCTATCTATCTATCTATCTATCTATCTATCTATCTAATATTATATTTGTGCATATACATTAGTTTAGTCAGTACTGAAGCCAAATTTGGAGCTTATCTAACAAAATTACTCACTATAATAGTTTAAAAATTTGTAGCCCAAATTTATGTCAGGGAAAAACATTTAAAAACACTTTTAAAAATAGCAAAAATCAAGAGAAACAAAAAATGTATAAAATTTAGTATAAAATTGTAAAATGTATAAAGATTTTTTTCAATATTTTGCATGAATTTAATTGCATTATCTTTTAATTTCTAAATATGTGTGGTGACTAAAATATTATTTTAATAAATATATCTGTTCAATAAATCTGTTTTGTTTAAATGCACCAAAATACATTGCCTATATTCACTGAGAAATGGAAAAAAATATTAATATTCAAAAAGGGGTGTACTCAATCATGCTGCACACTGTATTCTATGTAATCTATTTAAAATTATTTATTTAATTTACTAAAAATGAAAACAGGGACCTTTAACCTTTGTATTTACATGTTTTGCTATTATGGTAACTTTTAAGAGCCATTACAAAAATCATTATAGTTGTACAGCATTGTATATATGTACTGAGTAATGATTAAAACATGACTGCTTTTTTAAATTTTAATATATATATATATATATATATATATATATATATATATATATATATATATATATATATTTGGTGAATAATAAAAATTCTGTAACAACTTTAGAGTAACGGTTTTATAACTTTTTAAAAACATTTTCATTTGATGGTGGCAATGTTTTTTTTCTCTGGATTAAACTTTATAAATAAATGAATTAAAATTACACAATGTATAAATAAAATATATTCTCTTTAATAGTTTATTTTAAGAATAAAATGTGATTTTATAACAGGAACCTGTCTATTAACAAGATTGGTAATGATGGTTACACTGTATAGCAGTTAAAATGTACATAGATATTGGTACAAGGAAACAATACATTTTAAACTTCAAGTGAAGCTGAAGAATCATCTGATGGGGTGAAACTTTGTTATAGTTAGGAATTGTTAATGCAAACATCTATAAATGGTTGAAGTACAGTTGGTTTTATATTCGCACATTCTGACTTTCTCCTTAATAATATAATTTCAAACAAGTATTCTTTACAAATTCTAAACAGTGAAATCATATTAGCAGCCAATGACTATCAAAGTACAACATTGTTTACAGTCAAATAAACAATACTAATGTTGTTTTGAAGTCACATTTGCATGTGATATCCAACAGAAAAAAGTTTTTTTAATAATATAGATAGCTTGTCACAAGCTGTCTCTAGGTATGGGCTGGTATAAGATTCTAATGGTGTGATAAACTTGGATAAAAATATCACGGTTTCTCTGTATTGTGATTACTGTGATTTACAATATTTTTGAGCAATAAACATGTCAGGTTAAACAATTCAAACGAATCATTGACTTCTGATGCCTTCATTTGTTCATTGTTCATTCATAGTTTCGAAAACACAGATTTCTTTACAACTTGAAAAGGGTTAGGAGATTTTGGAGATCTTTTCTGCTGGAAACTTTTGTCCTAAAAATTACAACAAAACATAAAAAAATAAAATAAATAAATATATATATTTTTTTTTTAATTCTTAAAATTGTAGCAGAAAATGTTGGCAGGTTTAAAACATTGACTTTTCCAAACCATGGTATACCTTGAAAACGGTTATCATCCCATGTCTAGCTATCACTGAAAAATGTGCAAATAAAAAGGCAACTTTCCCTCAATCTATAAATGTTCAATTTCGCTGTTAAATACCACATACTTTCTCCAACCTTGCTCAAAACCTACAACAATATGCTAAACATTCACTCAAGGGTGGAAGAAGAGCTTCTTCTTACCTGTCTGTATGAAATTCTTCTGGATAAAGCTCCTTAAAGCCACTGTGGCCCCACCTGAGAGAACACAACATGTTATGCCTTTTGTTACAATGTTCACAGTACTCAAATAGATTAGTTTAACTCGAATGGTTTGTAGTTTCCTCAAGCAGTTTGAGCTGCCTTAATCTATTGGCTTTTACAGTACTCAGTCGGTTTGAGTTCACTTAATTTATTGGGTTTTACTGCGCTGAAATTGCGGCGTTTACTCAAGTGGATTAAGTTCACAGTACTCATTAGGATTAGTTTTTGTACTTAAATGGATTGTTGCAATCGGATTTCTCAAATGGTTTGAGTTACCTTAACTTATTGGGTTTTACAGTGTACAAAACAGTTCAAACATGACGAGCACAACACCAACCAGCACTACCTGTCAGGATCATTGGCTTCAAACTCATACAGTTTGCGTGTCCAGTATCGTGCCTCCCTCTCATCTCTCTCAGATACATCGTCTCTCCGCTCACCCAGCCGGTCTCTCGTTGACCCTTCTGAGTCGTCCAAATAGCGGTCACAATGCATGCTGCCCCTAAATGACCATTACACATTACAACTACTGAGAAACACACACCGTGAGCACAAATAAAAGAAATGTTGAGCCGCATGTGATCCACCTGTGCTTTGGGAAATGAGTGGACGAGGTATGTCGTTCAAGATCCCTCAACTTCCACATCTCAGACTCCTCTTGAATCTGCAGTTTTAAGTTGAATCAGATGACTTTCAGATTACATAATTATGAAATATTGTGTTTAAATTGTCACATACCTTGTTATGTGCATCTGTGTGTCTGATGACATTTCGGAGTAGAAGTTTACCTAAAGACACCTTTGACATGGATACACCTAGGAAAAAGGGTTTAAACACGAAGTGTATGTAAGGCACAGCTTATTGAAATACTTGTACAGAATATACATACATACATATATATATATATATATATATATATATGTATACACACACACACACACACACACAAACACACTTCCTTTTTTCTATATATAGTACAAATATATATATATATATATATATATATATATATATATATATATATATATATATATATATATCTGTGTGTGTGTGTCTGTGTGTGTGTGTATTCTGTTCAAGCATTTCAATAAGCAGCAGTGCCTGTGAATCCAAACAAACACAGGCTGATCTTATTGGTTAATTTACCAATACAAAACCCAAAGATAGTGTACTAAAATAAACATTAGTCTTTGCATGCTTTGTCCAATAAATATAACTGTTAGGAGCTTTACTGACATTAGCATCACTTCCTCTAACGTTTTCCTGCTGGCCAAGAACCCTTAGCTCGAAAGATTCATTTCGTTAAACGTTTAAGTTAGCCCTAAAATTGTAACGACCAAGCAAAATGGTGTTTTTTAAAAGGAGTAACGTGAGAACTGACCTTTCGCTTATTCAATATATTTTTAAATGTAGTGAGAGACGTGAACGTGGCACCAAAACAACAAACAGAACGTATCAACTTCCTGCACTACATCCGCAGGTTACTTTAAAATAAAAGTCTCAAAACGTATTTCACAATAAAAGGACTATTTATCAGATTAATCAAGGAATGTTTTTAAGAAAACTTGTCTGAAAACAAACATTTTGTATAAAATTCAGAATAGGCCCATAATTTTACACACTAGCGCACTCAAACACAGGCTTTTCTTCAACTAGGGCCACTGACGTTTATTAAAAAAAACTTGTTCAAAAGTCACCTACAGTCTCATAAGTTTAGTTAATATGTCTAGGCTTAAGATCTGTAAGAGGAAAAACTTAGATTACAAGAGAAATTGTTAATATTTCACATTAATTCCAACTATTTGAACATATGTCATTTCCATCACATCTCAAAACACAGCGGTTATTTAACAATTGAATAACTCAGTCAATACCACTCAAGAACTGATCAATTTTATAACTAATTTTACAGTATTTTTACAGTCAGTGTACAATATTTATTCATTCATTCATTTATTCATTTTCTTTTCAGCTTAGTCCATTTATTAATCTGGGGTCGCCACAGCAGAATGAACCACCAACTTATCCAGCATATGTTTTTACGCAAAGGATGCTCTTCCAGCTGCAACCCTTCACTGGAAGACACCCATACACACCTATTCACACACATGGACACTTTTGGCTCACCTAATTCACCTATAGCGACTGTGGAGGAAGCCGGAGGACTTGGAGGAAACTCACGCAAACACGGGGAGAACAATCTCCAAACAGAAACTGACCCAGCCGAGGCTTGAACCAGAGACCTTTTTACTGTCAACAGCGCTACCCACTGCCCCACCGCACTGCCCTCAACATACATTTTGTCAATAAATTAAATTTACTTCCCCAGTGACCAAATGCTGAATTATTGTCACATTCTGAAATGTAATATTAGTTTAGGTAAAAACTCATTAGAAAATAAATAAATAAATAAATAAATAAATAAATAAATTTTTTATATTAAATAGAATTGTGTAATAATATCAATTGTGGATATTTTTTAATATGTGATGAGAAATAATAAAATATATTTAAAAAATGGTAATAGAAATAATAGGGTGTTGTGGAAATGACAATGACAGGAGACACAATAATATCTTGCAACATTTGGTCACTGGGGCTCAGGGATAAGGCTTATGATTATTTTAGGGCCAGAAAAGTCAACCCTTCACAACCCTTCTACTGTCCCTATATATTATACCATATTACCATTATACTCTTTGATTATTTTTTTCTTTTATTGCCTTGGGTTGCATCTTAAAACAGACCATCAGTTTTTATAAAAATAATTTTCAACCCCAATTCCAATATTACACAAATCTACTCTTGCAATCCATATAATTTGTACTTTGTAACCGTAAATGTAATTTGCATTTGTCAAAATGGTTGTCAAAATGAAAGATTGCTTATACCAATAAGCTTTAAATTGTTAATCAGCATTTAATGTATGGAAAATACTCTAACTTAAAATTTGTAGCTTTTTAATAAAACATACATGAAGGTATAGGGCTGGGGGATGTGGCAAAAATGCAATCAAAATTAACTATTTTCCAAATTGAACGATAATGATATACAGTTGAAGTCAGAATTATTAGGCCCCCTGTTTGTTCCCCCTATTTCTGTTTAAGGGAGAGAATATATTTTTCAACACATTTCTAAACATAATTGTTTTAATAACTCATTTCTAATAACTGATTTATTTTATCTTTGCCATGATGACAGTAAATAATATTTTACTAGATATTTTTCAAGATACTTCATGCAAATTAAAGTGACATTTAAAGGCTTAATTAGGTTAACAAGGCAGGTTATGGTAATTAGGCAAGTTATTTTATTTTTTTTAAATTAGCTCAAAGGGGCTAATAATATTGACCTTAAAATGGTTCATAAAATATTAAAAGCTGCTTTTATTCTAGCCAAACTAAAAAAAACAAATAAGACTTTCGCCAGAAATTATTATCAGACATACTGTGAGAATGTCCTTGCTCTGTTAAACATAATTTGGGAAATATAAAAAAATTAATAAATTCAAAGGGGGCTAATAATTCTGACTTCAACTGTATATTTCAACGTCAGTTGTTAATGCTACCAGATTTAAAAGGGTATGCCAATAATAACTGAAGCCACAAAACTTAGAGGATTCATTAAATAACATAAAAGTTTTTCAGTGTCGCCCACAGAAAACAGGTTATGTTATTTAATAGACCCTCTAAGTTTTAATAATTGGTGGCTGAAAATTTGGTGCATCTCTAATATTAAGACACCTTTAGATTCCCATTGTTGCACATTTCTGCTGTCTGATTGGCTCTTAGATCAATGTAAAGTAAAAAAGTCAAGAGCTTATCATTGCTATTGACATAATTTTTATTGCGATTTGATATAATATTGTTTATTGGCCCAGCCCTACTTGAATGTGCAGCTTGATTGGAAATGACGTAGCATAACTATCTGATCAAGCAATATTTATCTTTAACTTATCTTCATTAGTTATTGATAAAAATGTAAAATTGATCAATGTTCAACATGTGTTCAGATGTCATTTTGATAGAAGCCAACTAAACAATCTTTCACACAAACTTTTTAAAGGGACATTACTGTGTTGTGGTGGAAATGACACAAATACTGTGTGCTACAGCTCTATTTTATATAAAAATTAATAGTTATAGGGATCTGAAATTAATAATTTTAATGTGTTTTAATCATTTTACTAGAGTTTAATTTGTGTACATTGTCAGTTACCAGATAAGACAAGTTTAAACTTAATTTTCACAGTCAAAGTTTAAAGGTCTGTTTATGTGACTAGGAGTAAGTGATTTTGACATACAGTATAAAAGAAGGTTAACAAGTATGAAAAACTCATAATAGAAAGATACTAAAAATGTTTAAGGTGCTTTTATTACAAGTTTGAAGAAGAACTAGGAATTTTACCAAAATTATATGCATTTTTTATACATAATAAACACATAGACAGTTGAAGTCAGAATTATTATTAATTTTTTACTTAAATATTTCCCAAATGATGTTTAACAGAGAAAGACGTATCACAGTATATGTCTGATAATATTTTTCTTCTGAAGAAAGTCTTATTTGTTCTATTTTGGCTATAATAAATGTTTGTAATTAAAATAAAATAAATAAAAAAAATTTAAAGGAAAAAATTATTATCCTCTTTAAGCTGTATATTTTTCGATAGTCTAGAACAAATCATCATTATACAATAACTTGCCTAATTACTCTAACCTGCCTAGCTAACCTAATTTACCTAGTTAAGCCTTCAAATGTCACTTTAAGCTGTATAGAAGTGTCTTGAAAAATATCTAGTAAAATAAAATTTACTGTCATCATGGCAAAGACAAAATAAATCAGTTATTCGAAATGAGTTATTAAAACTATTATGTTTAGAAATGTGTTGGAAAATGTATTTTTCCATTAAACAGAAAATGGGGATAAAAAAAAAAAACAGGGAAGATAACAATTCAGGGGGGCTAATAATTCTGACTTTAACTGAAGAGAGAGATAATGAGTGAGAGAAAGAAATTAAAGGGAAAGCTTACTCACTTATTTACTTGCCCTTCTCCACATGTTGCAAACCTGTTTGAGTTTCTTTCTTCTCTTAAACACAAAGGAAGATATGCTGAAGAATGACAGCAGCCATTGACATCCATAGTTTTGTTCCTACATTAGATGTCAAAGGATGTTGATTTCCAACATTCTGTAGAATTTCTTGTTTTATAGTCAACGGAAGAAAGAAAATCATCAAGGTTTAAAAACACTTAAGTGTGAGTAAATGATGAGTAAAATTTAATTTCAGGGTGAAAAGTTTAAAGATTTCCATTGGTATTCCCCATGAAATTTACCTGTTAGAAAGCTGCTTTTTTATTTGTAATGTTTCCTTAAGCTACTTCCTTGACAGCGAAGATGCGGATAAACAATACAGCTCCTCCTTTTTCAAATATTTTGTATTACCATAATGACATACAGTGCTCAGCATAACTGAGTACATCCCATTTTGAAAATGAATAATTATATCCATTACTCAGGGAATGCAGGCAATGTATTTTGGTGCATTTAAACAAAACAGATTTCTTAAACAGATATATTTATAAAAAGAATATTTTAGTCACCAAACTTATTTAGAAATTGAAAGATAATGCAATTAAATTCAAGCAAAACATTGCAAAAAAAAAAAAGAAGACAAACTACAATATTTCAACTAAATTTTCCTGTTTTTTGCTTTTCTTAATCTTTTCCCGTTTTAAATTTGTGTTTATTATTTTTTTCATAACTTATGTATTTAGCTGTACTAGATTTTGAACTGTTATCTTAAGCTATTTTGTTAGATAAGCTCCGGATTTGGCTTCAGTCCTGACTAATGTAATGTATATGAACAAATATAATATTGTACAGCTTCCTATAAAAAATAAGAACTTTAAAGATAGATTTGTGTGGGATATACTTAAATATGTTGAGGATTGTATTTTCACAAATCAAATTAATCTTAGTAAACAGATGAACGAAAGACAGATAAATCAGTGTCGCAGATATGATTTAAATAAAGAACTATATTTAGAACAAAAATACTATAAACCAAGTTTGACATGAAGCAGACTACAAACATAGGGAAAAAAGCTAAATAAGGAAACAAAAATAATGAAACTACTGGTATTTTGACAGACTAAACAAGGAAGTAAAACAGCTTATTAGCATGTCTGCAAGATATGCTAACACACTGACTAACTTGCCATTTAATACGACAGGGGATTTTGTTGTTGTTGGGTTTTTTTATTTAATGACCACCAGGTTATGTCAGATGACAAGTTCATCAACAAAAAGCTTCTATTATTTAAATTAACTTATTTTAATATTGGAATAAAAAAAAACATGTTAATGTTTTAAAGTATGTTAAAATACAAATAAAAAAATTAGTAATAAGTAAAATAAGTAATCTTTAAATGTCTTTTAAAACTTTGAAAAAATTGTTTAGTTTTATCAGAAGACATTATGATGTCATGCTGTAACTTATGCTGCATTTCTTTAATACTAGACTGATGTAAACAGAATGAGGATATATAGCAACCTTGGGATATGTGGTTGTCATACTTATGCATTTTGTTGGGTAAGGGACATCCTTAGTTAGTGTAAGCTATTCATGTGTCCAGGGACAGAATTTACAATGGTCAGGGTTTATACACATTTTTACTACTAAAATGCCATTACTTTTCCAAGACTTTTCCAGAACTTTCAAGTTCATTTTCATAATGTAATGTTCCTTGTAATGTCTACACATGATAAATAATAAGAAAAACAATGACGTTTAAATTTATTACAGCATATTATAGAATACGCAACAATCTATTTTGTTTACATTTGTTTTTATATCTATGTAAAATAGATGTTGATAATGCTTACACAGCACTAACTATGTGAGAGCATGTTTTTGGCCAAGGACAGAAAAGAAGTTAGGCTGCACAATATATTGTTTGAGCATCGATATCGCAATGTGTGCATCCGCAATAGTCGGATCGCAGGACATGCAATGTTGGGATTATAGTTTAATATAGAGTTTAATCATAATAGATTAAAAGTTTATCATCTGCATGCATTTTTAAACAGATAGTTCACCCAAAAAATCACGTATCATTGTCATTACACCCTTCACTTGTTTCACACATTTATGAGTTTTCTTTTCCTTTTTTTTAATAAACAGAAAAAGAATATAATTTAATTACTCCTTTAGTATTGAAACAAGGGAAGTGTAAGTAAATAGTGAGTACATTTTAGTCTTTGAGTAAACTGTCCCTTTAAGGCCTGTGACTGTGTAAAAATTTCAATATTTCAAATTTTAAAACATCCGGCCACAGAAATCTTTTGTAACTTTAATAAAGATTAAATAATATACAATGAAGACTATGCAGTGTTGATTAATAAATATCTGTACCTGAATAGTGAATATCTGAAAACTAAAATTCTCTTTTATCTTTACTATATTTTATTTATCTATGCTTGTAATTTATTTGTTATATATTGTTCAAGATTCACTCCTCTACAAAATCCTCCCAATCAATCCAAATAAACCTGTTAAATTATCTGGAGAAATAGTATTCACATCGCAATATACATCACAGAAATACAAAATAATATAGCGCAGCCCTAATTCAACTATACAGATATTTGTTAAACTAATTTTCATGACTTTTACAAAACTTTTGAGGGTTTTTCTGTTTTTCCAAAACTTTTCCAGGCCTGGAAAAGGCCATGTCCAAATTCCATGTATGAACCCTGAATGGTTTAAGTCATACCCAACTGATCGTTACCAGTTTGTAAAAATAAATGAAGAACTTTCAAAAGACCAATAAAGAATGAACTGCCACAGTGATGAGTTTTAGGTCTTATTTGGGCATCACTGACCAGCCATAAAAAGTATGAACTTGCATATGTGATTTAAACTTCTGTCAATAATATAAATGTACGATTCATTATAGAGTTTGTAAAAATATTTTTTTTCCGCATGCAGGCTAGCAGATCCTGGAACACAATGCAAAAATAACTAACAATTTCTCCCAATACATCACCGTGTTCTTCCATTAAATCACTGGTGTTGAACTTGGTTCTGCACAGTTTAGCTTTAACCTGAATTATACACACCTGATCACACTATTTGAGTCCTTCAGGCTCGTTTGAAACCTGCAGGTAAGTATATTGAAACTGGGTTAAAAATAGGGTTTTTGACTGGGTCCAGGGTGTTTGACACCCCATGCATTAAATAGTTTATTGTAAATATTAAGATTACAAAACTAAATTCCAAGCCTCTTAACATTAGCTACACCCAATTAGATGAATGTTCAAATAGCCCTATTGCTATTAAGAATGAAGTTAAATAACTGCATTACATTAAATCATTATCAAGAAGTTAAATTTTTTTTGGTTGTTGTTTCTTCATGTTATTTTTCCTTTAAACTCTCAATGGCCATGTGCTCCCAGTCTGCTTTAGGTCCAAATGATCTAGCCCACTGCCTTCATTGGATTAGTGTGGACCGAGATAGCAAGCACTTTTGGGATCGAGTGAGTATACAAAGGCATCAGTAAAAAGATAATGGGCCACAATGGTCCAGTCTCGGCTCAAAGCTGCTGTACACATGGTAGATTAGTTGTGTGTATCTGATCATAGCCCGAGTTTGTACTGTCACAGAAGGGCCATTGTCAAAATGAAGGAGCCTTGGATTACATTTAAAAGGTTGGCAGTTGAATTGAGGTTGATTAAGCAGGCTCCCTCTCCCAATAAAAGGAGGATTGGATTCACTCATTGAAAAGCCACTTAGGTTAAAGTTAAAGTTCTTGCTTGTGTTATAAAATATTTTATGATTAGATGCAGTTATCTAAAACTTCTGAAATGGTGTATACATCTGATGATTTACACCTTTTTATAAGCATGTGATGATGAGTTTTATTATGTGTAGGTCAGTCTTGGTTATGGCAAAGTTTCACAGCTAGATTTCTCATGGCTAGTACATTTAAAACATCACACATGAACACCTCACCAGCCACAAACGCCACCACAGGCCACTGCTGCAGAAGCATGCTGTTTGCAGGGTAACGGAAATGTACCATCCGCACCAAACACACAGTAACATTTTAGTGCAGCAGCATTTTCAAAACGATGTAATTTGGAACTTTAAATGCTCATATAGGCTCATTAAAATCGAATTGAGTCTAATTGGATGTCAATTGTTTTCATCAGTATCAATCAGGTAGGGAAAACACATATAGTGTATCATTTCTGGTGGTGCAGTGGTACAGGCTGGGTCAATTCACATTTCTGTGTGGAGTTTGCATGTTCTCTTCATGTTGGTGTGGGTTTCCTCCAGGTGCTCCGGTTTCCCCCACATTCCAAAGACATGTGGTTCAGATAAATTGGGTAAGCTAAATTGTCCGTAGTGTATGTGTGAATGAGAGTGTATGGGTGTTTCCTGTGATGGGCTGCAGCTGGAAAGGCATCCGCTGCATAAAACATGTGCTGAATAAGTTGGCGGTTCATTCAACTGTGGCGACCCCTGATTAATAAGGGCACTAAGCTGAAAAGAAAGTGAATGAATGAAATAACTAATATATCATTTCTCTGTGCACTGTAAGCTGGTTGTGGGATTTCAACAAGAAAATATAGCTACCCCCTTAGAAGAAAATAGATAGGTAGCCTACATTTGTAGAGTAGCTACTCAATAATGAAAAAATAATAATTAGCAGTTAACCCTGGAACTATATACTTCTAAGTAAAAAAAAAAGAAAGAAAATAAATTTTCCTACACTACCTAGGCTACACACATTTCAGTACATAAGTAATTAGCTTAGTATTCATGAATACTGGATGACTGGTTGTGACATGTTCACATAGGCTGCTATACCTTGCTTTTAGTCTCGTGATAAGCAAGATCACCATCCTAGACCATGAATATCCTTTTGATCTTATTCAAGGAATGAGTCTTAAAGTACTAAATGTTCCGTGACCGTGAATAAGAATGTATACCCTAACATATTTACATTCCGTTGGTCTGCGGTGTAAAAAAAAGACGTGTTTTTTTTTTAACTACGGAAAGTTTCGCTGCGTTTTCTTTCGATTTCCGTCTCTTTGCCTATATAAAACCAGCCTAGGATGGGCAGAGCGATCAGATTGAGCGACGGGATCCTCCGGTAAGTGATGAAGTCATTTTACTCGCCTATCCAGATACATATACGAGTTTAAAAAATTTAAAGAGGTAGGAACAAGAAAATGCCAATGTTATTCAACAAAATTGAGTGGCTTGCCCACTGCCAAACGGATAGACTCATATGGTTAGAGAAATGATTGATTCTGGCGAAAATTAGGTATGTTAATGAATACTAAAGCTCACTAATCTAATTTGTTCAGTATGGTTGAATCTTGAGTCTGTGTGGGAAAATATTTCTTGCAGAATTAAAGGAGCCCACACATGATTCATTATCCTGAGAGAGACTTTAGACACATTTATAGGAGAGAATATATCCTTGCCAGACACCTTATGCGTCTTCTCTGCCTCTTCAATCATTTAAACTTTATTACACTCTTATATCGAATCCATAATAGCCATATAGCGATTTATTAAAACATTGGACTACTTTGAACTTTTATTTTTCATTATGAAAGTAAGTTTTAAGTCGACTATTTTCGCTCTATGTGTTGTATGTTAAAGCTATTTGATATGTTGGTTTAAATTATTATTATTATTATTATTATTATTATTATTATTATTATTTTATTCTGCTTAAGTGATTTTTCAGTTTTAAGCAAATGCATTTATTATCCTGCCGAGATTTTTCTTAATGTTGTTGTTCTTCCATAGGTTTCATTTTCCACTTTACGCAAGAGAACGCACGCGAGGCGCACCGGCTTCAGGCGTGCTCACCTCAAAATGTGTAAGAACTTTACCCAGTGTAAAAACCTTGAGTATTAGACGAATATGCCTTATGATTTCTTAAAATGATTTGCCTAAATCAACTGCTGAGGTATAAATACTCAAGCAAACGAGTTGTCAAAGAAACTAAACCGAAACTACCATCATGTGGAGAAATCTTCCTGTATTGAGTAAATGGGAAATTATAGGATAGTTTCTCTGGAAAACAGAACTAGTCTACAGGATATATTTATAATGCCAGCTTAGAACTCGCCGAGAGAGTATTTTAATGCATCTTCTTCTGTCAAGTTTTCTGACACATGACTGTACAAAAGCTTAAATGCTTGGTTAATTTAATTAATTTTGTTTTGATGACAAATTACAGTGCAGACAGACACGATATATCATATGTTTAATCGATTTTGCACTGTTGGTTTGTCAGTATCTGCAGTGTTGGCACTGGTCTTGGTTTCCATCTACCATGCTGGAGGAACTGGGAATGATCTTCTTTCCAAATGCTTACAAGACTCTGATTATGATTACCTTCTGAAGATAACAGAGCAAGGTCTCCCTCCAACGAAAACTCCCAAACATGTGCTAATTGTTGGAGCAGGTGCTGCTGGACTCACTGCGGCCAAGTTTCTGGAGGATGCAGGACATAAGGTACTGTAAAAATATACAGTTAATAAAAATCAATCAGCACCCAGCAAATATTGTCTATGTCAGACACAAAGTAATTAGAAACATATTAAAGATGATCATGTCCTATAATGTTAGAGGTAAAACACTAATCTTTACTGATTGCTTAACTCTACTTGTACGTGCAAAGTGTATGAATGGTCTGATTATTTGACCACTTCCACATGAGATTCATTTCATATGTTGATGCAACTAGTTCAAAAATTCTGATTCAGATCTCATGATCTGGACTTTCCACACTCAGAAAGCATCAGGAAATATTCTGAATTGAATAAAAGAGAAACTGGCAAGCAATCAAGATTACAAGTGTTGTGACGTGGAACTGTTGGAATGTACAGGATTTCCCCGGCGCTCTACCTATTTTCCATTGAAGAATCACCTGCGATTATGTTTAATTTAAATATTGTCATTATTATATTAAAACCACATTATTAAAATGTTATAGACTTTTATGTAAGGTATTCTCAATTTGATTATTGATTAAGCCTATTACTTTTTCTTTTATTCTTAAATAGGTGACAATTATTGAGGCGAGTGACCGTATAGGAGGAAGAATTCAGACGTTCAGAAATGGAAGGGAAGGCTGGTATGCAGAACTCGGTGCCATGAGGATCCCAAGCTTCCACAGGTAAGTTGATTTTATCAGTCAAATCATAATATTTCTCATTCAACTCGTGAATCTTATAATAGAGCAATAATTAAACTAAAACTACATCACTAGAGTAAGGATAAAAGGTCCAAATTTCTTTGATAGATTAGTCCATAATGGCTATCAAGAGACAAACTGCTATTCAAAAAGTGAACGCTATTGGTCAGAAGGTGGAGCTATAGTCCACAACTTAATCAAGCTGTTTTAAGGATTATTTATTTCACTTTTAAGGATTCTCTTGGCGGTGGCACAAAAGCTGAGCTTGAAGCTTGGGAAATTTGTACAGGATGACCCAAACACGTACTATTACATTAATGGAGAGCGTCATAAAACCTACACCGTAAAGCAAAACCCAGATGTACTGAACTATCCGGTGTACAACCAGGAGAGGGGCAAAAATGCAAGTGAGCTGTTTAACATAGCACTTAGCAAGGTGAGTGAAAAGATTTGGGATTTTGACAAAAAAAAATTGAAATATTTATGAATCTAGTTATATACACCACTGGGGGAAAAGGGAACGGTAAATTCAGTCATAATTTAATTAAACTTTTAATCTGTTTGAGGGTTTTTGTGTGTGTGTGTGTGTGTGTTTGTGTGTGTGTGTGTGTGTGTGTGTGTGTGTGTGTGTGTGTATGAGTGTTTGTGTTTGTGTGTGTGTGTGTGTGTGTGTGTGTTTCTGTTAAGCACAAAAAAAAAGATATTTTGAAGAATGTTGGAATTTGCCATAGGAAAAAAAACTTCTGTGGAAGTCAGTGGTTACTGGTTACCAACATCATCTAATATATATTTTGTGTTTAACAGGAAGAAGAAAAAATAAATTAGTTTGGAAAAAGGATGAGTAAATTATGACAGAATAGTTTTTTGCGTAAACTATCCCTTTAAAAGACCGCTCCTGAATAATTATAATTTCTGTGGATTTCCATTAAATGCATGCTTTGAGAAATATTTTATTGCTGTTTTCATTTTAGAAAATTCTGATAATTTGTGTTCCCAGTTTCAAATACAAATGATAAATTACAGTATTTATATGCAGAATTTGACAGTACAGCCCCCCAGAATTATTAGCCCCCCTGAGTTATTAGCCTCCTGTTTATTTTTTCTCCGCAATTTCTGTTTAACAGAGAGATTTTTTCAACACATCTCTAAACATAACAGTTTTGATAACTCATTTCTAATAACTGATTTATATTATCTTTGCCATGATAACAGTGAATAATATTTTAGACAAAACACTTCTATACAGCTTAAAGTGACTTTTAAAGGCTTAACTAGTTCGGCAAGTTATTGTATTACGATGGTTTGTTCTGTAGACTATCGAAAAATACTGTAGCTTAAAGCAATTCATTCATGTTTTCCCAACACAAATTGATTGAGTTAGCTTAACACTTTAAACAAATTTATGTGAATTGAACATAAAACATATAAGCTGTCCCAATGAAATTTCAAGAATTGTGTTATTTCAGCCCATTTTAAATAAGTACTTTCAACAAGTAAAAAAAAAAACATTTTTTTGAGTTAGGGGCTAATAATTTTGACCTTAAAATGTTTTTAAAAATTTTGAAAACTGCTTTTATCATAGCTGAATTGAAACAAATAATAATAAGAAAAAATATTATAGAGAATACAGTGAAAATGTCCTTGCTCTGTTAAACATCTAATAATCTAAACTTCAGTTATACATCTATATATAATTCTTCATGTTTTAAATATTAAACATAACATTAAATATTAAATGCTGAAAAAAACACAATTAAAAATTTTTTTTCTAATCATGCACCACTTTATGGAAAATCCAAATTACTGATTTATAATAATAAAGAGTTGCACACCTCTGGTTTGCACTCCTTGCCTTGTGCCTTTAATTGTTATAATATTGTATACATTTTTGTTTTTGTCTTACATTTTAAGATTACCTTAAATGTGTAATTGTATTCATTGTAATTGTTTTTATACATTTTTTTTGTATTAATACTATTATCTGTTATGCAGCTAGGGTCTGAGAGTAATGCAATTTCAATTCTCTGTGTCCTGTTGTCCATGTGGTTGAATGACAATAAAGCTTTTATTGTATTGTGACAGACATGGAATCTGAGAAATTGAGTTTGTTTTTCTTATTGTTCCTTTTTAGTTACAAGACGATTTGCACAAAATGGGCTGCGAGAAAATGTTGAACACCTACGATTCATACTCAGTTAAGGTAATATATCTGCAATCAAGTTTGTTTGGCATTTACACTGGTTTGCATGCATGCAGAATGCATAGTTATTACCTGATTTATTTCTGGTGATCTGTCAACTGCCAAGATGTCAATCTCTGTTTGCTGACGTCATAGATCTGCTTCAGGAGAACATTAATTTGTTACTTTGTTTGTCGTGTCTTTGTAATTATGAGGCAAGACACCACAGTTTAGAATTGATCATCTTTTATTATTTGGACTTAAATCGAGGTTTAACTATTTAAAATAAGTGATGTTTATCCAAACATTTTCCAGCCGGTCTATTACCGTTTTCAAAATGAAGTTGCCAGGTAGAACCAAAACTGTTTACAAAGTAATATTAACGTAACATAGTTGACCTTTTAGTTAAACGTTTTTAATAGTGTGAAAAACATTATCATCAATGTTTTAATGTATTGCAGATGGAACGTTATGAAGATTCCATGATCAGTTAGCTGTCAAAAAAGATTTTAAAGTAATAATATTACTAACCTCTGGATGTCTCTTTATCTGCAACAGGAGTATTTAGTGAACGTGGCAAATTTGAGCAGAGGAGCTTTGCGGATGATTGGTGATGTTCTGAATGAGAACAGTTTCTACTACACGGCGCTCACTGAGATGCTCTACATTCAGTCTGATATAAGCGACGATCAACAGTAAGATATTACCGCTGACTCTAATGACAACTAATGGATTGAATACAACATTTAAACCTTTGATTTAAACTTTTTTTTTAAAGAATATGCAGCCTTTATATAATCAAAAACATGGTAATAGTGTTCATGAAAATAGCTTTTATAATTTAATGTGTTAAAAAACACATCTTAAAATCAAAGCTTCAGTCTTTTATGTAACATGATGCTTCAAAACTCATGCTGACTTCCTGCTCAGACACACTTCATTCTAAGGGGATATAGTTTACCCAAAAATGAAAATGTAATCAATATTTACTCTTCTTCAAGTGGCTCCAAGTAAGCTCAAACAGGTTGGTTTTAATTAAAGCTTTAATTGTGATTAATTGATGACAGAATGCTCCATTTTGAGGTAACTGTTCATTTAATATAATGCGGCTTCCTTATTATTATTATTATTTTTTTTCGCCAGCTGTGCTATCTTTTTCAAGATTTTTTCTTGGTACTTTAACTTTCAATGTACCCAAGCTGTATATGATCTAGGGGCTGATATTGAAATTTTGATTAAAAAACGATAACTTAAATATTTGGAAGCTGATAACCGATATATATGCAGAAAAACTTTTATATATAGAAAAAAAATTATATTGTTATTTTTATACTTTTTTTATGATCACTAACACATCGGCAGCTAATGAAACTGAAATATTTTTAATTGGACCAGACATGCACTATAAGTGAATTTGAGAAACTAAATTGGCCATAGACTGATTTCACACGGCTGCCATTTTAAAAGCTAAATCGAGGCTGCGTTGGGAAGAAACCCGGAAGTATCACCTGGAGTCACACCGGAACGTTATGTACCTGGCTGAATATCTTATCAGCGAAGTGAAAGTGACACAAATTTATCATTTCACCACCTTCCAAGTGACCTTAAGGTCTGTTCTGAATGGATAATAAAAATAAAAAGGGATATTCGACCTCATTTTTAGCTAAATCATGGGAAATGTCACTATAACTAACATTCTCTTTCCCAAACACACGTTTTAGATGCCATTTATAAAGTTAATGAACTGATTCTTTCACTATATTAGACTTGTCACGATACTAAATTTTGCCATCAATCGATATGAAAAAAACAAAATGTCAATTTCCTGCTAACATTTAAGAGCTGTTGAGCTCGTTCTTAAACACTTGATTTGCCATTGTGTTCACTAGTGCTCAGCAGAAATGACTGTGATTAGCCGTAAAGGTCATCAGTTCACTGCACTTCACCGATGTTTACCAAGTGCAAACACAGTCTGGCGATCTGCTGATGATTCAACTGATCTTTGTGGCTTTAAAACACTGCAGTGTCACGGTATTTGTGTTTGCACTTGGTGAAGAGCGATGAACTGATGACCTTTACAGCCAACCAGTCATTTCTGTTGAGTACTGGTGCATACAATAGCAAATCAGCCGTTTAATAACACGCTTAAATGTTAGCGAGAAATGGACATTTTTAACATTTCAGTACTGGACAACACTATTACAGACAACACGAGGATGTGCTACAGAGGACTGCGTTGTTTTACACTGAATCTGCGTGAGCAGAATTCCTAAGATTTTTAGCCCATCATTGAGTCTATTTATTTAATTTATTTATTCAGGTTTTAAATTAATTTCAGTTATATTATTGACTAATATGAAAAAAATCATATGATTTATTTACAATACAGTTTGTAAACCAATATTTTCTGTTTTTAAGTAGATATAATATATGAGAGACCTGCTTTGTCTACCAAAAAAAGTGGATCTAAAAGTTAAAAATATATAATTTTTTATTTCGTATATTAAGGTTTTAGTTATAAAACTGCCAAAATCATTCCGCATAAATCTGCAGATTTTTAACAAAATTCTATGCAGAAATAGCTAAATAATAATAATAATAATAATTGTTTTATATATTTTCGGCCATGTGAAATAAGCGTATAGTGTATGAGTGTGTGTGTGTGTGTGTGTGTGTGAAGGCGAGAGTGTATGGGTGTTTCCCAGTACTGGGTTGCGGCTGAAAGGGAATTCATTTTGTAAAACAGATGCTGGGAAAGTTAGTGGTTCATTCCACGGTAGTGACACCTTATAAATAATGGACTAAGCCAAAAGAAAATGAATGAATGAATGAATCAAGTTTTTGGACCGTTACCAATAACATTAAAAATGAACATTAATCAACCAATACGATATATAAAGCATTACTAACTTTTAATAAAAAAATAAATATTTTAAAAATATTGAATGACAAACATATTCAACTGATTGACACCAAATCTCTTTTTCAGGTATTTTGAATTTCTAGGTGGCTTTGAAACATTCCCGAATGCATTCTACAGTGTTCTAAATGCCACAATCCTGATGAACTCCAAAGTCCAGGCCATCAGCCAAACGCAGGACGGCGTGACGGTTTCGTATCAAGACTGGCGCAACCTTGGTGAAATGACTAACATCACAGGCGATTACGTCTTAGTGACGTCTACAGCCAAAGCCACTCTCTTCTTCGACTTTAACCCTCCACTGTCAGCTGATAAAATGGAGGCTCTGAGGTCCGTTCACTATTCCAGCTCCACTAAAGTCGTGCTAAGCTTCAGCCAAAAGTTCTGGAAGAACAACGATGGCATCAAAGGAGGGAAAAGTATCACAGATCTGCCATCCAGGTTCATTTATTACCCCAGTCATGAGTTCCCTGGGATAACAGGAGGTGCTATTTTGGCTTCTTACACCACTTCTGATGATGCTACACTTCTACAGACTTTAGATGAAGAGGAGCTAAAGGCTGTGGTGCTGAATGACCTAGTGAAGATCCACGGAGAACACATTCGCCAGCTCTGCACTGGAGGTGCTGTGAAGAAGTGGGGAATGGATCCGTACAGCCACGGTGCATTTGCTATCTTCACTCCATTTCAGATGAGAGACTACAGTGCGTCTCTGGTCCAGAATGAGGGGAGGATTTATTTTGCTGGAGAACATACGGCCAGACCTCATGGCTGGATAGAGACCGCCATGAAATCCGCACTCAGAGCTGCAGATAAAATAAACGATGATGTAAAGTAGGAAACAAAGCATAATGGTATGTCTAATAATATAGGGAAGGTGCTTTGATGAATGTTTAGTCGTCTAATTTTGTAATGTAACCCTCCCGTTCTGTTTCTTCATTAGGTTTTGACTAATTACACCAGAGTATATGGAAGTATGACTTGAAATGGTGAATCACATCTTCCACTGCTGTGAATCCATTTGTGAAAATGGATTTTAAAACATCCTCATGACCCTCTTGTGGAGATTTATTAAAGGATGTAGCTAGCATTTGACATTTATACATTTTGTTTGTACATGCAAGATGGTATCAATCTTTTAAGCTTGCACTTATCAGAATCGTGACAAAACACAATTAAACATTAACCACTGATTAGAATTCTCCTGCTAACTAGAACATGTAACAGCGCAGCTAAACTATTCAAAACTAAGACTTAATATTTTAGTCGGATTGTTTTTATTTTATATTAGAATATTCTGGTATTGTATTTGTACATATCTTTTTATCATTAACAGTATTAATATTATACATCTATTCAACAATGTAACAATTGCATATTCATGTTCAAAAATGTTTTATACAAATAAAATACTGTATTTGTTAACAAGTACTTTGTCTGTTTATTAAATATAAAAGTTGCTCTTCATTTGCACAGCCACAATCATGATGTGCATTTTCATTCATTCGTTCATTAATTTTGTCAGCTTAGTCCCTTTATTAATTTGAGGTCGCCACAGCGGAATGAACCGCCGACTTATCCAGCAAGTTTTTACGCAGCGGATGCCCTTCCAGCCGCAACCCATCTCTGGGAAACATCCACACACACATTCATACACTACGGACAATTTAGTCTACCCAATTCACCTGTACCGCATGTCTTTGGACTGTTGGGGAAACCGGAGCACCCGGAGCAAACCCACGCGAAGGCAGGGAGAACATGCAAACTCCACACAGAAACGCCAACTGAGCCGAGCTTCGAACCAGCGATCTTCTTGCTGTGAGGCAACAGCACTACCTACTGCGCCACTGCCTCGCCTGATGAACATTTTGATTTTTTAAAAAAAAAGTAATTCTATTTACGCACACATTAAATCTATTCCATCTTGCTCTCATTAATTTAATTGTTTTCAATGTTTGCAATACAAATAATAATTGTTGGACATGCCAGAATCGTACATTTTCACTCATAAAAAATGAGACAGGGCCTGACTTGAGGAGCTTGTCATCCTCAAAAAAAAAAAACATACAAAAACAAGCATGTAATTATACAATTCAATGCTAGAATGCATCCTTGATCACTGTCAGCTTTTCCTCCATGGTCATAACCTTAAAGGTGTACTGCACACATTTTATGTTAAATTTAATGCAAATGTGACAGGACTGACAGCAACATGGGGACACTTGTAAAATTATTTGTATTATATATTTATAGAATTTATTTATAATTTCATGTTTTTAATCAGTTGATGTAAATGATAACAACTTAAACTTGATATTTCTGAAGTATTTATTTCTAAATAATTGTTTTTAGCATAACAAAGCTATTAAAGCTGGTTCAATTAAGCTGAGAACAAATACAATCACAGGGTCTCTACATTTATGAAGTGGTTTTAATAAAGAAAAATAAAATCTGGGAACCAAATGAATGACTTATTCCTTTACAGAACAACTCACAGAAATCAACCTTCAGTCCATTTTAGACATACTTTATATTCACTGCATTTATGTTTTTATTTCAGGTATATATACACTTTAGGTATATATATATATATATATATATATATATATATATATATATATATATATATATATATATATATATATATATATATATATATATATAATTTAATAACACGTAAAAGAAATACTATAAATCTCTATACAAACTAAAAATTTAAAAACATAAATGGAATCATTAATAAAAAATAAAGAAGATCAATACTGATCAAAATGGCTGTTTTACAAAGACTTAGATGCGTAAATATGAATGTGTTAATATTATACGATATATGCATAAATATAAGTTGTAACTTAGCCTATTTGTTTTATCCATAATAAATACAAATTCTTTCCCACAGAATGTTTACATGTACGAATATGAAAACAACAATGTACAATAAGCTTGATAATATTTGCAGAGTAAACATGTGTGCAGTATCTTGAATTAATTTGAATAAACCTGTTTAAGCTAATATATTTTATAGGCAACATCCAAACAATAAGTCCAAAACAAATTGTAATCGCTTATTTTACATGAGAGCTAACGTAAATGTTTTATTGAATAGTATTTTCCGTACAATAAAAATAAAGAAATCTTTGTTTTGTCTGTTGATGAATGAAAAGGTTAAGTTGATCACAGCAGCCAGTGAGTGTTTGTTTGTACATCCGGGTGATTCCAGTGACCTTGGGTTGGTTGTAAGAATCATGGCGGCTCTCGTCCGAATAAGTTCTCTCTGTCATAGAGGTGTCAGCCGTAAGTTTGTGTGTTTTCATGTAGTTCTTGCATTCGGCTCAGCATGTGTCGCAGTTGTTTAAAGCCTCGAGGTCGTAAGTAAAGAAATCGGTATCCAGTAACGCTTCATGTGAATCGCATCACGCGTACTGTGTAGCTAGCTAGCATGCTAACTTAACCCTGTCAAACAGTTTTCATGATTATGTATTTTGGCGTCTTTTAAAATGAACTAGTTAACACACTACTTAAGTATAACATGTTTCTAAAACATTCTTGTTATATGATTTTCACAAAATGACGTCATATTAATGTCACGCATGTCATGCTCTTATATGTGTATTTATCAAGGCTGTAAATAAATGTCATTCATGTAATTTATTCATTTATGTGTGCTGATTTTTAAATGCACTGCCGTCTAAGTATTGAATGGACATAACTGACATCTTTAGTTATGCATTCACGTTAAATTTATAACTTAATATGTACTTGAAATTACATATTTTTATGATTTGATTATTCATGTATTGCTTGTATTTTTTTAAATTCCTCTTACTTTCCACAGCTCTGTTATTTCGCCCTTCGTCTCTCATCAGACCTTTGGCCGTACAGCAGAAGGATCATGATTGTTCGTACTTGATATCAGCAAGGATACATGCTACTCCTTCCAACTATGGTATGTGCTTTACATTTTAAATGTTTGATTATCAACGACATAACTGAGGACCAAGATTCTTGTTTTATTTCCATTTGTTTTATCAGCCTCCTATATAATTGGTGGTGCTGTCGATTTGGACTAGAGACTTGTAATATTTAATTACATTTATATGTGTAACTCTTTTCTTCATGATAGTAAAGTATACGAGGATTCATGTGCATCTGCAGTATAACAGTAGACGGATACGTTTTGAATAGTTCTGAATGTCTGAACAGTCCATTTTTGTACAGAATAAGATATGACCACTTGTGAAGAACAGAATGGTTTGGAATGAAACTGTTGTAAAACAGAGCTATAGACTAAATATAGTAAAGCTCAAAGGGCAATTTCTTTTTCTTTGGCTTACCCAGCACAACCTATTCAGTATAGGCCAGTGTATCAGGATGTGCTTAAGATAGTTTAAATAACTATTTTGTTCCTTTGTTGTGGTTAAGTTATTAAACTGCATAGAGTTTGCTTTGACAAAAATTTTGATGTTATATATTTGTTTGTTTTTATTAAGCGGGTTCTGGGTCTAAAGCTGCAACCATGCACTGGACTGGAGAGCGGATCCTGAGCATAGCTCTTCTGAGCCTGGCACCTGTTGCGTATTTTTGCCCCAGCCCTGCTGTTGACTACTCTTTAGCAGCTGCACTTACTCTACATGGTCACTGGTAAAACATTTTTGTTTTTAAATGTTACTATTGCTTGATGATATTTTATTCTACTCTCTTGCTTTATTTTCTGAAACTTGAAAGGTAAAAAAGATTGTCCATAAATCGTCACCGTAGAATTATAAGGTTTTATCTGACATTTTTGTCAAAATTGAGTTATTGACATATTCTTATTAAATTACAACTTATTTACATTATGGGATGTTTTTTTATAAGTTGTTCACATTTTAAGACTTTCTGTTTAAAAAACAAATGCTTCACACATACTCTTTGCTATGGAATGCAAAAACTTTGAAGCTCAATATCTCAAAATCCTTCAGAACGCAGATAGAACCTTATATTTCTAAGGTGACGAAATGTTATTAAGCAACCAACAAACAGGAATGTGCGCGCATCTAGGATTCTCAAAGGCAGGGGCTTGATCAAAAACAAACACAGTGGCAAAAGATCAAAGAAAACCGGCACACTGCCACTTTAGCTCTCAAAAATGTTTTAATGTAACAAAGTTTTGACCCACATGGTCTTCATCATGAGCTTTTTTACTTTTATCTCCTCTACTACAGCACACATGTCAAAAGTTTTAAGGGAAAAAGTTGCAAGTTTTAAAATTAAATTTGCCATCAAATCCTATTTGATCAGCAGTTTCTTTTGTGCTCGACTAGATGGTTTTGTGTTGTGCTCCACCAAGTCATGTTTTACTGTAACCTCAGCAAGGCAAATGAACAAAACTTTCATTGGATGTCCAGTTTATAATGTAGTGCAGGGGTGGCCAACCCTGTTCCTGGAGAGCCACCATCCTGCAGATTTCATTTCAGTTGCAACCCATATCAAACACTACTGCCTGTAATTATCACGTGGTGTTCAGGTCCTAATAAATTGGTTCAGGTGTGTTTGATATTGGTAGCAACTGAAATCTGCAGGAAGGTGGCTCTCCAGGAACAGGGTTGGCCACCCCTGATGTAGTGCAATAAAAAACAAAAAGAAGAGCTCAAGACATTAAATGATGCTTTTATGACTGGTTCTTTGGCTGCATGCTTTTAGTCATGAGGTGTTAAATGTCACCAATAATCATTTGCAATAACTGTCACAGTCTGCACGGGCCATAATAATGTTTTTTTTGTGGTATAAGTCTAAACAATGAAAGTAGCTTTTGTTTATGCTCTGGTAGCTGCAAAAATTCACAGTCTGTGTGGGTTTGTTTGTGTTAGAATCAGGACTGGTTTCTATTTCAAACCAAATTACAACTTCAGACAGCAAAGCACATATCATGTCCGTATATATATATTTTTTTTAGAAATGGACATATGTTATCCACAACATCTCCCATGATGTATAAGAACTAGGTCAATTGCTTAAGAGTATCTGGTCTTTTGTGACCAAATGATTGAAAAGGTATTTTCGACTTTCTTAAAATCTTTACATCTGTGTTTGCTGTTGTCCACTTCTAAACAAATTAACATAAATGCATCTTAATACCAGGCAGGCGTAAACAACAGGTCAGTAGTCTAGTTTGTTTTGCTTTCTAGAAAATATGGCAGGTCAAGTTTTAATTTAACATGATGCTTATTATAAATGCATTTTGGGTACTGATAGCTCAGATTTTAAGTATAGCTGAGCATCATTCAATAAAATAGTTTCTCATGCAAAATGGCACTGTCTTTAAAGTTAATTCCTAGGTGGCTGTAAAACTCTTTATGTAAGGATTTATCCTCGCCTTAGGCATAAGCACGCAAGGCCACACTTCTAATTTTAGTTGGTTACATTAGGGTCACATGCGCACATATTGGAGATGCACTTATAAATGTCAAGAAAGTTCTTAGCTGATCACATGATGATTATTTAGAATGATAACGGCCCATGCCTATAGTTTGTTGGTTCTACCTTTTATGTCTTTTTTAATGAATCAGAATTAATTCCTCGGTTTTGAAAATAAATTAAAATTAGGCTTTTATTTTTAGCAAGGTGTTTCAGAGTATCTGGTGTCAGTCATAAACGCAAAAAATATATTGCTCAAACTCTGTCATCATTTACTCACTGTTCACTGTTCAAAACTTTTTTTCTATTCTGTTGAACACAAAATAAGTTATTTAAAAAAGATTTGGAAACCAGTAACGATTGACATCTATAGTATTCATGGTTTCCTCTACAATAATTCTTCCACAGCGGGGCTCGACTACATTACAGCTTCTCATTCTAAACCTTGATGTTGTGGGTTTTCAAACAGTGGGATATGATCACACCAAAATGTATTAAAATGTAAGTGAATTAAAACAAAGCGCACATTTCTGTAATCTTAATAGTGCTGTGCATTATTTGTTTAACCCTTTAAGGTTACATGCTGGCTGACTAAAAGGGCTGCGCAATGCTTGAGGCCAGCAAACATGACTTAGCTTTCAGTTATCAGAAACACATTTCCATAATTCTACTTTATTTATAGATAAAAGGTCTGTGGTTCTGCATACAATTACTTTATCTTGCTGAAGTTTATGGCCGTTTCACTTTACTTCAGGACGCATCAGTGCCACTTTGTAGGTCTATTGGAGATTAAGGGTGTCACGATCCTCCAAATCCTCGATTCGATTACATTTTCGATTCTAAAGGCACGATTCGATTTTCGATTAAGAATAATTAATTAATTAATGACCAATTAATTATTTGTAGCCTACCGTTTAAACTACCTGACCTGCATGGTCTTTGTTTTACCCATAAACAAATCATACAGTAAAAGAATAAACGCAAGATACACACATAATTACCACCTGTCAATCACTTTTTCTGCGGGACTCGTGAATAGGCAGTGATCTGTGTCGTTATAATGGCGTCGGTAAAAAAGACGCACAACCAACAGGAACCAGCCAACAGTATCTGATGTGTTCGCTAAAATGACTAAGTACAAGTGAGTGAAAGATTGAAGCAGTCTACTGATCCTCTGACTGCCTGAACCCGCTGTCTCGAGCCCATGGCTGTGTGTGCATCTGTGTGTGTGTGTCAGAGGTAGAGAGGAAGGAGGGCTGCTCAGATATGCTACACGCCACTGTGGATGTCAAATCGTCATTCTAAAATGCCATTTAAAAACAAAGACACTGTAAACAGGGCCTGAGTGTGTACTTTTCACGAGCGGATTTGCAACGGGGGCGGGCGGAGGATCGCGATGCCGGTGTTGTCTATCGGACGAACTCTAATACGTACATAGCAGAGCTTGCAAAACTGTGTTTTTTTTGTCCACAACACGAACGTTGTCAACATAACTCACTGGAAATCCAAAATGCTTACACACCGGTGACTTCATTGAAAGAGGAGAGGATTGGACGGGTCTAGAAATCCCGGGTCAGGACGGGTCTCCTGCTTCTGCAGTTTAACAAGCACTTCAACAAGCCTGTTTTTTTCCCGCTTGGCATGCCAAGCTGACGTGACATGGGGGCGTGGCAGCATCAACGATTCTATTTTTTGATTCGATAATCGAAATTGAGCATAAATTTCGATCGATTTCGATTATAAATCAAAATCGTGACACCCCTATTGGAGATGTTCATAAATATTCCTAGCAAATCTAATGAATGTCGAATACTTACTCGTTGCATAAATGCACTGAATCTCATTTCAGCAGCATTTATTTGAGAGCGCGCAAGAAAATCTGCGCTTGAGCAGCATATATTCATATTTGAGGCCGTGCAAGAAGTTTTTTGCTCAGAGAAAATTGTCGTGCAAGCAAGGAGGTTTGTATGCTCGTATAAAATGAATGCGATCTCGACTTGTAATACTGCGCTCATGACATTTGTCATTGAAATATCGCCATAGGTAATTGGAACATCCGTCTAAAAGGCCTGACACTACAGCTGGAAAAATTCCAGAGACGCTGATTTTGTTTTTTCAGCGATTTATCGGTTTACAACATTTTTCAAAATATCTTGTCTAAACTCAAAAAAGTTTGTGACAAGTGAAGGGTGAGTACACGTTGACAGAATTTGAGTAATAGGTTTTTGGTGAACTATACCATTGACTGAAATCTGAAGAGAACGATTTCTCAACTTTTTAAATCTCAATGATGTTTTTTGTTTTATTTCAGATGATACACTGGTGCATCTTTAGAACATTTTCAATAATTTTTGCGTTTAAATGTTAATTTCAGTTGGAAATAAATAAAAAGCTAACAAAAGTCTTAGTTAAAACATACTTTTGGTCATGTTTGAGGATGAATGTGAAGAGTTATTATAAATTATTATGCAATTTTTATTTCTGTGCTTATTTTTTCGGAAGTTTTTCTCTGTTAAATGGATATGAGTTGGTCACTTTTGTGCACATGCATGTCTGTCTGTACCTTGTATTCTTATGTTTTGAAGACCAAATGTGCCCATGTGCAAAATGGCTCATAAATCACATCGAATTAAGTATTCTGAAAATGTAAAATTACAGATTGTTTCCGGTTGGGTTAGAATATACAGTTTAAGTACAGTATAGGCATGGGCTGTTATAAGATACGGCGGTACGATAACCTAGGATAAAAGTATCACAGTGTCACAATATCACGGTTTTGTGATTACTGCTCTAAAATATGGTCTTTTTAAATGTTTGGGTAAAAAGAACCTTTTTCCCTATTGAACAGAACATATTTTATTTTAACATTCAACATATTTTGAAACCATAAACATGTCAGGCTAAATAATTAACTTCAGTCATTAACTTCGCTTGTCTTCTTCAGTTTCAAAAACACTGATTTCTTTACAATTTGAAAAGGCATGTTTAGATATCTTTCCTTTTTGGAAATAAAGTAAGTCTCTTCAGGTCTATAGCATGCTCGATATTAGTTTATAAGAAATGTGTTTTTTTTAGATGTTTCCTGATTCAGAGACTAATCTTAGCTTTATATAGTAGATTGTTCCAGTTTCAAATTGGTTACAGGCAGATGTTTTGATTCATATGGCAATATATTTGATGTAAATTTAGTATACGTAGATATCACAGTGCTGTTACTTAAACAGTCCCTCATAGGGTTTGCAGTGATTTATAGAGACATGCTTCAACACCTGATTGTACTTCAAACCAGCTAATGGTGTGTGTGTCAGATGATTTTACAGAACATGCTTAAGCGGAAATTCATCGTTCATTCATTTTCTTTTCGACTTTTTCCCTTTATTAATCTGGGGTCACCACAGTGGAATGAACCGCCAACTTATCCAGCATATGTTTTTACACAGCAGATGCCTTTCCAGCCGCAACCTATTACTGGGAAACATCCATACATACTCATTTACACACACACACACACACACACACACACACACACACACACACTTATACACTACAGTCAATTTTAGCATACCCATTTCACCTGTACTGCATGTCTTTGGACTGTGGGGGAAACTGGAGCATGCGGAGGAAACCCACGTGAACACAGGGAGAACATGCAAACTCCACACAGAAATGCCTGCTGTCTCAGCTGAGGCATGAACCAGCGACCTTCTTGCTGTGAGGCGAACGTGCTACCCACTGCGCCACCGTGTCGCCCATTCAACAATTCAATATTCAAAACCAATAAAAACATATTTATCATCAAATCTCTAACAAAAATGACAATGACAGTGTTATTGTTTAAAGTACAGCAATGCATATTCCTGTGTTTTTTTTCTTAGGGGTCTTGGCCAGGTTGTGACAGACTATGTTCACGGAGATGCTAAAATCAAGATGGCTAATGCAGGCCTGTTTGTTCTGTCCACTGTCACCTTCGCCGGCCTCTGCTACTTTAACTACCATGACGTGGGCATTTGCAAAGCGGTGGCCCTCTTGTGGAGTAAATGACTGGACTGAGACGAGGATCTGCGTTCACCATCAAAGTTCCAGCTTATTGTACATTATATGTAACTTCTATGAATATATAATTTTTGACAACATGGTGTCGATTTGCAGTTGTTATTAATTGTAAATGCTGTCAGAACATACTCAGCTTTTACGTAAGATGCGAAATCAGTGTTTCAGATGCGGAAAAACTTGTTGTGGCTTTAAGACGTTGAAAATCACTACGGTTGTAATGTTAAGATTCAAACTCATTTTTACAGGAAAAATGATCAGGCAATAAATGTTTTGGCCATATTTATTGTATAATGTCTTTTTGGTCACAATGAAATATCTTGACATCAGGGAAAGTAATGAATTATGGTAAATGACTCCTCGTGTAAACGGCACATTGTGTTTGTTGATTCACTGATGGTAAACTGATCTTTTATACACGCCAATCTGATTGTTGTAGAGATGCTTACATTTTCGCATGGCTTAATATATAGCAGGTATTAAACATTACCTATATTTATAAGTCCATCATTAATGAACAACATATGGGTTATTGTCATATTGACAGTATTTCAACGTAACACTTTGCATGGCTGTCTTGCTCAATTCTGCTCAAATAAGTAACCATTTATAAAAGACAATTTGTTATTGGATGTGCAATTTATTTACTTTTTTGTCTTAAATAGATTAGATGTTTGCAAAAATTATTGCAATGTTGTTTGCAGTAAACTGTGAGCTTTCAGTGTATAATAATGAAAAAGGCAAATCTAAATGATTAAAGTGAGTTTGGAATCTAAGGGAAATGATTTTGCTAGTCCTGTTATCATGCGCAGACATGGTTGTGAGGCTGGCTGCACTTGTGCCTGTTTAAACTGCTATGGAAATTTGTGTAAAATATTTTGGGTTTTTCTGCTCATTAAAGCTTAAAAGGGTAGAATTGTGCACTCAAGAATAAAGGCAGTTTTTTTTGGTTTCTTTCGGGAAAATGGATTTTCCATTGTACTGTGTTATGTAAGAAGAGAACCGATCAGAGTTAAATGTTCACTTTTGGTGTCAATTAGGCTGTTCATACTAGCACAGATCAGATGCTTCAATTTACAAGTATTTTTAAATATATATATATATATATATTTTTTTTTTAATTAAAAAAATTATTTATTAATGTTATAATTAATGTTATCTAAGGTTTCTTAAACTTTTTTCTTTCTATTTCAGTTTTTACTGTGAGGTATTGCACTACTTAAGCACTGGTAAAAATTGACCAAACCGTTATCTTAAATAACCCAAACTCACCTACAGATTATAAGCTCAAAATATTAGTTGCGATATAACAGTTTTGTTTGGATAGTCTATTAATGTTAATGCAGAGTAATACATAAGAAAAACTAACCTGCTTTGCAGGTAAAACACAATTAAGCTACAACCATGAATGGAATTTAGATGTACTGTTATGAAACCATGAAGAAATTAAATGTCAGAGTGCAGTTGTTGATATACTCTTAAAACGCTATCTATGACATGCACAATTTTTAGGGTGAAACATTTTTACACAAAAATGTAAACTTAATTAAACTGAATACAAGTGTTATAAAAAAAAAATCTACATTTGGTGCAACGCCAATTAAATATTTTCAAGTGTTCACACTTAGCTGATGATTGATAGTAAAGCTAGTTTGGCGTGCTGTTCCAGGAGAGAGCCCTGAGCTTATAAGATCCTCGAGCCCTGGGCTCCCTCCCGTTGCAAGGCGAGAGGGGAGTTTGAGCTCAGGTAGATCTCGATGACTCCCCTTCTTGCTTATTGTAGCTAAATGTTGGATATGTATGCTGAAAGGTGTACTCAAGAGTTTAGCTGATGTATTTTGATTGATTGTTTAGGGTGCTTGTTTTTGAACTGTGGGAGGAAACCGGAGGACCCGGGGAAAACCCACGCGACCACGGGGAGAACGAGTAAACTTCGCACAGAAATGCCGTCTGGTTTTTAAAGGAATTAAACCAGGGGCATTCTTGCTGTGAGGCAACAGCGCTAATCGCCGGCCACCGTGACACCCGTTTGAAAGGGGGAAAGTAGGGTTGGGTAGGGGGGGGTTTCTTCAAGAAGAAGATATTGAGATGAGAAAAGTCTGGTTATTTATGGTGAGTTAAGGATTGTCTGATAGGATAATGAGTCATAAGCTAAAGTTGGAACAGCTGGGAACAATCATAAGCGCGTGATCCTCTCGAAATTTGTTTATGAATAAACTTCACTAAGTAACGTAATAAAACATTGAGAAGTGAAGTAATATTTGTGATTCTTGAAATTGATCATTTGTGAATTTTTAAATATATTTATAGAAATGTAACAAACAAATCTTAAGCATGTTTAATCAAATCCAATTTGTAATTCAATTTCTTTTTTTGAACAATTTAGAGAAAAAGTAACTGACGCAACTTTATAAATCAATTGTCTTTTCAAACTTAATCTTTAATTTGTGTATTTTTATCAAACCACTGATTTTTTTTCCCAGTGCACAATTATTGGTTAGCATTATGAGAGGCGTCACTGTTGATGGAAAAATTGAATTTAAACAATGCTGGCTTGTTTTCCTCGATCTTGCTGATCGTACTTACTGGTGAAGGAAATTTCAGGTGTCTCATTAAGGTCACTTTAAGGTAGTGATCTTTACTGTTGTAAGCCTGACGTTCATGTTTTTTTTAAACATACAGTACGTGCATATAAATGAGAAGCAACACTCACACACTGTCTCTAATAGCCATGGACGTGTCCTCCGGGACAGATATATTTTAAGCATCTCCCTGCACTGTTATCAAGTTTAAAAGCTCATGTACTTAGTAACTGCAACCAAATGCCCCATGGGGGATAAGATATAAACATTACTTTTGTTAAACTCACTTGGAAATACCCAGGCGTAAAAATTAAATACATGCTGCTTTTCTTCTGAAGGTCAATGCACTTTTCAAACTTATTCTTGTCCTTTTATATATTTGTGATTTTAAAATATGTTGTTTTTCTGGAATACACTCAGAAGTCAGATGATGTGAGTCAACTCGGTCGGGATGAAGACGGCATGTTAGCAGCTCATGAGCTTTGCCAACTTTTATTTGTTTAGTTTGGATAAAAAATTAGTTGATGCGACTTTACTAACCTGTAGCTAACACATCAATAATAGATGTTTAAAGAGGTCTCCACTCTTCACATTTTAAAATTTATTTCAGGCTGGTTAATACCTCTGCGTCGAGTGATCGGCGTGAGCAACGGCGTTTGCCTTGTGCGTAGCCATGCATTTATACTTATGCATGCTGTTTGTGTTACTCTGCAATAATACTTCTGAAATGCTAGCTGGTATTAGGTTATGTTCCTCTTTATTAAGTTTCTTCACAGGTGTTTTTTTTAACGCTACCTTAATACACAAGTAGCTGAAAACTGAAACTGGGGATGCGGAAACTGGTGGACGTGCAAAACATTTAATTATAAGGTAAATGCAAAACAAAAGTTTCCATTGGATCTTCTTTACAGGACTTGACACTTGTGGACACCAGTTCCATCACCGCCCAAACTTGGCACAGCTACCAAGCAGACCAATCACAGAGCTTGCGATGTGTTTTTTTTTTTTTTTTTTTGAGAGGTGTGCGTCAGCTGCGAGAAGGCTGTGCTGGACCATACACGTGCACTTGATGCTGAAGTATAAATCAGCCTTTACTGTGAAATTTAGCAGTGTGAGCATAAAATACATCTATAAAGTTACAACGCTCAAAGGTCAACAAAAAAAAAATGAAATAGTCTTTTAGCGAGACAGCTAAAAACCTACAGCAAACACTGTTTGAGGTCTACAACCAAATGCATCTCAAACACATTTGGAAAAGTGCAGCAAAGGGTGTGTGTTTACAAAAGCATTGTAACTATAGTAGGAAAATGTAAACTATTTTCATGATGTCTGTCTTTTGTGTTTAGCCGTCCAGGTGACGGCTTTTTAGCCTTTTTTTTAAAGTTCCTGAGAATTATATATAAAAAAAAAACATTTTTAGTCAAAAAATTTGTTTCTATTATATTAAGTAAATAATAAATTAGCTTTAACATGCAAGGCTTTTGGGCAGCACGATGGCACAGTGGGTAGCACAATCACAGCAAGAAGGTCGCTGGTTTGAGCCCCCGCTGGGTCAGATAGCATTTCTATGTGGATGTTCACTGCATAAAATATATGCTGGATAGGTTGGCAGTTCAGTTCTGTGGTGACCACTGATTTATAAAGGGTCTATGCCAAAAAGAAAACGAATTAATGTAAAATTACTGTGTTTTTAGCTGTTTGTGAATCTAAATTAATGTTTAGCATACCATATGTTTTTAAATTCATCATATTTCTGATAATGATACCTCAATCTTCAACAAAGAAGTAAATTGCACTGACACTCCTGAAAGAACTGAATCAAACTAACTCTTAAGTTTCTTGAGATTTGCTGTTTGCTGACCTTGTGTGTCAGTTGATTGGCTGTTTACTGGAAGTGTCAATTTTTTTGTGGACAGACTCAAGAGTTAATGATTAAACCTGGGTTAAACCACAAGTTAGAAAAACATCAGTGTGCACACATCTAGGAAAATCTTAAAGGCAGGCGCTCAATCAACCCAAACACAATAGAAAAAGTTTTTAAAATTAACGTCTCACTGCCAAGACAAATCTGATTTGACAACGTTTCAACCTACAAGGTCTTCATCTGATAAAGTTAGTTGAGAACATTTATATCAAGCATTGTGAAACAACCTAACCTGATCTTAACCAGTTAGTATATTTAGTACTTTCAATAAGTGAAAAGTTTAATTAATCAGTCTCGAGTACATCCATTCAGCAAATAGGCCTAACAGCACTGTTTATTGACACCTGATGGTTTATGGCGTTATATTTGTACCACAATTCTGTGTGCAAAAGATAATGTTTTGGGCACATAAAATGACTTGTTGCACACGTTAACCATTCATGCTAAAGATCATGTTTTAAGCTCAGTTTTGAGGCTTTTATAGTCTCTACCTTTATTAAATATCAATATAAATTGTCTTTTGTTTTATTTGAAATACTGTACTAATGGAAATATGCATACACACATGAAAGGATAATAAATATTTGCATTGAATGAATTTCTAAATAAATAAAAGCAAAATCTAAATCTATATGGGAAACAATGGCATATATGTATATGTATATGTATATGTATGCTAAAAAGCAAGAAATGTGACCCCCAAACATAAAAGTCTTGATGCAGTGCACAATATGTGCCAACCATCAATACTTTTATGTTTGGGGTCACATTTCTAGCTTTATAGTTTACATGAATACATTCCATTGTTTCCCATAAAATTAGATTGTGCCCAGCCATACTAACACATTTTCACCTTTTTCATTTAGCTGTTCTTTTTGTCGGAAAAAGCATCACAGAATGACAGGCAAACAGAATATCAGCATTATAATTGGCCGGATTGCCTGTAGATCAAACTGCCTGCAAAGAGTTTGTTTATGAATACTTTTTTTTTCTTATGAGTTTGAGAATAAAATATGACAGGCTCTGTCTGAACTTTCTTGACATTTTTATGAGATAAAAAAGATATTTATATAAGATCTGAGATATTTTTACTCCATAGATAATGCATTTTATGTACTGTTACAGTGATTAATCTGAAACTGGACAGTCACAGAACAGAAGTTTTTATTATCAAGCTATTCACAAAACGTAATAGACACAAGTTGACCTAACATTTTAACATTTGCAATTTCTGTTTTTAACTTTTTTGCTTTGAAAGCATTTTTGTTTTACCCCAGATATAATCCACAATGTTTCCCTTAACATAAGTCTGTAAAAAATTACAGAACAAGGTAACAATGTTATTAAGCTAAATTGTTCTTTATATCCTCGCAATATGCATGATATGCTTGTAAATTACTTTCAGACTGTTATTTCGATATCAATGTGTCAAAATTATTATTTCAGTCAAGAGTGTTATTTCAGATAAAGCAGGTTTCATACAATGTCTGGTTAAAATTGTAATAATCATAATAATAATATAAAACAAATAGGACAAAATAGGATTTTGAATGATGAATAGTATTATGAAATCCAATCTTGCAAATTCTGGATGTGTGAGTTTAGTATATATATATATATATATATATATATATATATATATATATTCAAGGTAATCATACTTTACATGATAGCAAAACAATGAATAGATTAAAACAAAATACAATTTAAAAACTAAACAACTGATTGAAGTTAATCAAATTTCCCCAACAGAAACATTTTTTGAGCCATTATTTTTTTTGTCCTTCTACAGTTATGCTTCTAAAGAGGATAGTTACATAATTTGCTGCAGACTTGGGAATTTCCAAGACCCATCAAATTGATTTCACAGGATGTTCCTAAAATTAAATTTGCTAATAAAAAAAATCACGCCACAAATCTGTGTAGCTCTGTAATAATTACATCTTATTATACTAAGTACTTGTATAGTGACCGAGAGTTCGACTGATGTATCTATTTATAAATGTGTTATTCTTAGCACTCAAAACAAATTATTATTAGTTTTTTCAGTTGGTGTAACTAACTGTATCCCTGGGCTGAATCTAAACATTGCTACTAAAGTATCTGTAATTAATCCAGAACACTTCTTCAATTGATGGGGTCTGTGATCTGACATTGCGTAAGCAGCATGTGACCCTAAAAAAACTCTTTATAAGATAGTCCAGGCAGCAGAAGGAAACAAGAGAGTCTCCAAATTAAGTTTTTTCAGCTCAGCGAGCCACCACAAGCAGAACAGCATGTCTTCTATGAACCGCCTGAACAGCAGCAAATCTGGTAGGTTAAGACACCATTCTAACTGTAGATCCACAAAACTTCCAATCTGAAACTCTTCTTTTGCTCCACAGGCTGGAAGAAAACCAGGCCTAAGAATAAGGATCAATACTTTACAGATGTTCACGGTCTGCCAAGCATTGAGAAGCTGATATGTTCTGCAGACGAAACCCCAGAGCCCATTACGACCACTATTACAGGTAACGTCCCTAGCTGGATCAAGGGCAATTTCCTCAGGAACGGACCTGGGAAGTTTGAGATCGGAAGAAGCAGGTGAGTACCAATTTGAGGGTCCCTCGGAATAATTTGAGTTCAGGAAAGTAAATGAGATGTTGTTTGCTTCTCAAGTTTCAACCACTGGTTTGATGGCATGGCGCTTTTGCACCAGTTCCACATTGAGGATGGAAAAGTGACCTACATGAGCCGATTCCTCAACAGCGATAGCTATAAGGAAAACCTAGAGCATAACCGCATAATAGTGTCTGAATTTGGCACAGTGGCAATGCCAGATCCGTGCAAGAACTTCTTCCAGCGCTTCCTCTCACGCTTTGAGCTGCCAAGTGAGTGTGACGTCTTCAGTTTTAATTGAGGTCTGAATATAGTCCGCGCATGTGAACTTATCTTAACTCTTCTTCCGCAGAACTAAGTGACAATGCAAATGTGAGCTTTGTTCAGTATAAAGGAGACTACTATGTCAGCACAGAGACCAACTTCATGCACAAAATAGATCCAGAAACACTTGAAACAAAGGAAAAGGTACAAACTGATTATGATTATTTTAAATGTATAAAAATACGGAGAACAACCTGATGTGTGAAACTCATTGCATTAAGGTGGACTGGAGTAAATTTATTGCGGTTAATGGGGCTACAGCTCACCCTCATGTGGATTCTGATGGAACGACATACAACATGGGCAACTCTTACACTGTTAAAGGTTTGTCTGCTGTTAAATTTTTTTAAGTCTCTTTGCTTTTATTTTTATATTTTTCTTAACTCTTATTTTCAGGTGCTTTTTACAACATAATAATGGTGCCCCCAAACAAGGAAAACCCAAATGATACATTGGAAGGAGCGTCAGTTGTGTGTTCAATCCCATCAGAGGACAAGTCCAAACCGTCCTACTATCACAGCTTTGGTAAGGGAACAGCGCCCATTGTCTCAGGCACTCAGATTAAATTCACTATGTTTATTTTATAAATATAGCGTTAAAAATTAGTCTAGAACAGAGTTTTACGCAGCATCTTTATTTGTACATGTACTTATTAATATACAAAAATGATTAAATGATCCTGCAACATTTTTTAAATTAAATTATTAAATGTATGGTAACAAATAAGTAATGCCTACTGTGGAAAATATAAAGATTTAAAAAGCCAATTTAATTTAATGCGTGGTGCGGTGGCGCAGTAAGTAGTGCTGTCGCCTCACAGCAAGAAGGTCGCTGGTTCGACCTCGGCTTGGTCAGTTGGCATTCCCATGTTCGCATGGGTTTCCTCCCTGTGCTGCGGTTTCCCCCACAGTCCAAAGACATGCGGTTCAGGTGAATTGGGTATGTGAAAATTGTCCGTAATGTATGTGTGTAAATGAGAGTGTATGAGTGTTCCCCAATGATGGGTTGCAGATGGAAATGCATGGGCTGCGTAAAATATGTGCATGATAAGTTAGCTGTTCATTCCACTGTGGCGACCCCTATTTAATTAAGGGACTAAGAAAAGAAAAGAAAATTAATAAATGAATAATTGTTTTACAGCGCATGCCCTTCTAGCCACAACCCAACACTGGAAAACACCCATACACTCTTGCATTTACACACATACTAAAGTGTGACCAAATTCATTGGTCACAATTTTTCAGCTTAGTCCCTTTATTAATCCGGGGTCGCCACAACGGAATGAACCACCAACTTATCTAGCACATTTTTTTGCGGTAGATGTCCAGCCGCAACCCATCTCTGGGAAACATCCACACACACACACTCATTCACACACACACTCATACACTCCTGAGAATTTAGCCTGCCCAATTCATCTGTACCACATGTCTTTGGACTGTGGGGGAAACCGGAGCACCCAGAGGAAACCCACATGAACGCAGGGAGAACATGCAAACTCCACACAGAAACGCCAACTGAGCCGAGGCTGGAACCAGCGACCTTCTTGCTGTGAGGCGACAGCCCTACCTACTGCACCACTGCGTCGCCGTGTGAACTGTAGAATTACTTTCTACTATTTTTTTAGTAGAAGTCTATTATGCTCATGTAAATTAGTTCATCCTTGCTGAACAAAAATACTGACCACAAACTTTTTAACATATAATTCTTACATTTGGTAGTTAAAGGATTATTTAAAATCTTAATAACCTGCACTTTTAAACGATTAATGCAGCCATGTCAGAGAACTATGTGGTATTCATCGAGCAGCCAATCAAAATGGACCTTCTGAAGATTGTGACAGGGAAATTGCGTGGAAAAGGAATTAATGAAGGTGTTTACTGGGACCCCAAACGAAACACAGTTTTCCATGTGATCAATAAGCGCACAGGAAAGGTGAATACTTCTAATAATGGATACTTTATGTTATGTAATGATATTATAACATGGTTTTATTTGATATAAATAATTTTAAAAAGACGACCTGCAAAACCCAAATTAATCTCTTTGTATTGTTACAGCTGAGCCTTGTCAAATATTACACAAAGCCACTGTCAACCTTCCACCAGATAAACTGCTATGAAGACAATGGTTTCTTGATTATGGACATGTGCAGTTCTGATGATGGCCAAGCAATAAACAACTATGTAATTCAGAATCTTAAAAAGTCTGGGAGTGCTTTAGATGAGGTAAAATCTTACTTCACCATTTTAATTTTATATTGAATAAAAATGTAAATGCTCCCTTATTTTCTAACATACTTGTTTTTTGTCTTCTTTTGCCTAGGTATATAACACATTGTGCAGAGTGTTTCCTCGCCGTTTTGTCCTGCCATTAAACGTGGACAGTGACACACCCCATGGGGAAAATCTCATCACATGCTTCAACAGCACTGCAACAGCAATCAAGACAGACAATAACAAGGTTGGCCTTATGCAGTGTTTTTTTGGCATATTTAAAAAAAAAATTTTAAATTTAAAATGTATCTACATGCTATGTAAAGAATCTTCATATAATATCATGTAAAGTAAAATATTTCCTTGTATTTACACACAGGTGTTTTGCACATATGAAGATCTCCATGGTGAGGATCTCCATGAATACGGTGGACTGGAATTTCCACATATCAACTATTCAATGTGCAATTCACACCCCTACCGTTACTTCTACGGATGTGGCTTCAGACACCTGGTTGGAGACTCTCTCATTAAAATGGACCTTCAAGGCAAACAAATAAAGGTAAGTTAGGAGTATAATGCTTATTTTTCAAATGTATTGTCTATAACTTAGTCTGTAGTTCAGTTGTAGTAAAAAAATAAATAAATACATATATATATATATATATATATATATATATATAAAGTTGTCCTGACAAGAAATTCAATCATACTTTTAAAGTTAATATTATTAAGTCATTTTAAAAATGTAACTTAATGTTACATTTACATGTTTATTAAATGTTAATTACATTTTAAGGAAACTAATGTGAAAGTCTGTATTGTTTTTTTTTTAGATTAAGATAGGCTTCAGATTGTAACTCATTACATTTTACCCCAAACTGCATGCAATACACATTGTTTTTAGGACAAAGGCTTTGATCCACTTCAAATCTGTATATACAGATTAAGTCAGAATTTTTAGCCCCCCTGTTTATTTTTTTCCCACAATTTCTGTCCAATAGAGAAAAGATCTTATCTTTGTCATGACGACGGCAAATAATATGTGACTAGATATTTTTCAAGGCACTTCTACACAGACTAAAGTGACATTTGAAGGCTTAACTTGATTAATTAGGTTAACTAGGCAGGTAAGGGTAATTAGGCAAGTTATTGTATAGCAATGGTTTTTCTGTTGACTATTGAAAAAAATAGTCTAAAGGGGCTAATAATTTTGGCCTTAAAATGGTGTTTAAAAAAATACTTTTAACCTAACGTTAGTCAAAATAAAACAAATAAGACTTTCATCAGAAGAAAAATTATTATCAGACATACTGTGAAAATTTCCTGAATCTGTTAAACTTCATTGGGAAAATATAGAAAAATTCAAAGGGGGGCTAATAATTCTGACTTCAACTGTAAGTAATTTTTATAAATGTGGCTTAAAAAACATTGCTGCACCTCGAGACATAACAGACTATACAATATAGAATATATTTTAAGATGTCAGTGCAAGTCTCTTGCAGTTGAATTTAGAGTTTAGTGTCAGACTAGACTTAAGTATTGTACTGGATGTGAAATTGGGGATTAATGTTTACTCATTTAAACTAATATTTCAACTTACAACAGGTGTGGAAGCATGCAGGCATGTTTCCTTCAGAACCGGTCTTTGTATCTTCACCGGGTGCTGTAGAAGAGGATGATGGAGTCATTCTGTCTGTGGTCATCACCCCTAATCAGGTATGGTGTGTTGTGTTCCTTAAGAAACTGCTTGAAAAGGTTGTATGTTAGCTTTTCAAAAATGAGAAAAAATATATGGCTAGACTAATGGCTGATTGTCCTTCTAGGACAAGAGCACCTTCCTTCTAGTGCTGGATGCGAAGACATTTGAAGAATTGGGCCGCGCTGAAGTACCAAAAAACATTCCTTATGGATTCCACGGGACCTTCCAATCATAGACACTGAGAGAAACTTTTAAAGAACAGATGTTTTAATATAACCTGCTCTTACTTATTCTTTTCTCTCTTTAATTTGTATTATATTATTTGTCAGTCACTTGAAATGAAAGAATGAAATACCTGTAGATACATGCAGTTGTTTAATAAGTCACTACAGATTGTGAATGTCAACACAACACTTTATTTCAATATAATTCCTAAATATTTTTTCTAATTTTATAAAGTATTAACTTGTGAAGTATAATATGCACATGTATAATCAATGTCTTAACAATGTCTGATGGATTGATGTGTGTAAAGTGTACATTACATAAATAACAAAACACCACTGAAAACCTATCCTTGTAGTTTGTCAGAGATCAAAGCCAAAGATCGTCTCAGGTGTTCCTTCTTTTCTTTAAGATTAGCCTCTAAACTCCTGGCTTCAGTAAGAATACCTTCCAGTTCCCCAAGCTGTGAAGCATCCACAGCAGCTCTTTCCCTTAGAAGATAACATGTAAAATCAGTGTTTGAGAGAAAACTTTGTAGATACACAAGTGATGAGACACAGAGGTGGTATACATATTCATTCAATTACCTCAAGACCTCCAAGTACTTGGAAAACAGGAGACTGACCTCTCGGCTAGCCTCTAAAATGGGGGAAAAAATGCATTAAGTTACCTCACAAGTTTATTATGCCTACAACAATCGATGTGAAACAGTTATGTTAAAATGATGAGGTAATTCAATCAGCTGTTATGAAAATATATGCTACACAATACCACATAATCAATAAAAAGAGTTGTATATATACAAACTTGCCTGCCAAAGCAGTTTCAAACCCATAAGACATGTCTCCAGAAGCTGGTCTGAAATTCTTTCTCATTTTTGCTGGAGATGTCTCTGAACAAGGTGCATTTTCAACCTAGATGTGTATTTGTGAGCTTTTGTTAACGTTCAAACATTTCTCAATAATATATGATTGTTTAGTGTGACTTATGGTCATGGTAATTTCCCAAATCCTCCTAAGATCGTCACCTCTCGTATTTTGGCTTGAGACCTTTTCATTTCTGTTCCTCCTTTTGTGTTCTCGAGACTGCGGTGTGACATTTGTATCCTGAAAATGAAGAGCACACCAAGATGTTCTAAAATATAGCCTACTATACATTTCTGTCAACGTCGTATTAATCTCACTTTAGTGTAATATTTAATAGGCTATTTGTCATTCCTGTTTATTAAAATCGTCTGACCATTTAACGTTGAAACCTTTTTTAAAACCGAGTCTCTGTATCTCTTTTTTCACTGAAGCTTGTTGACGAAAGTTTGTTACAAGTTTGTTTAAATTAGGCCTAAATCAAGATATTCAATACAGGCTACCTATATGACAAGAAGTTGTTAGTAATGTGATTACTTATTAGTTGTTGGACAGATAAATACCAGAAATGAAGTAGCCTTCGGTAAAGCCGGACGCCGAGGTTCCGTTGAGCAGCTGACTCTCCAACCGCCACTGATTGATTTGAACTGAAAATGATCGATTTTCGCGCGCTCACAGAACTTTGCCTCTCATGTGTCTGCTGTTACTGGAGGTCAGGACATAAATAGATATCATCTATAACTTTTTCAATAATAAGCGCCTATCAAAAAGGACTGATTGGTGATTATGTATAGGAATTTTTAGAAACACATTTTAGGTTTATAAAAATATGATGTCTTTACAAGTTCTGACCAGCAGATGGGGTGCTGTACAAATTAATTCAAGACTCATTGGATGATGATGAAAGGTTCTGCAAAACGAGAACGATGAAGAGGATCAGGTGATTGTTATTGTATCACGTCTTGGTTTTATCGTCTTATTTGTTTGAATAATTAACAGTTTTGGTCTTGGCCATTTTCCAAAGAACCCTGGAATTGATTCATTTGAATGTTCTGTGAATAGCACCTCGTTTTTATGTGAGACATTAAAATTAATTAAATAAATAGGCTAAATAAATGAATGAAAAATACGTATTTTAAAAAGTGATTCCATGACATTTCTATGGATATCCAAATAAACACAATTTTTATTACAAAAATTATAAATTTAAACTTATAATTGAATATAATTTATTAAAAACAATTATGTAGTTTAGAAAAAACTTTACATTATTAAAAATAATAAAACGTTTGAAATTTCCACATTTAAATGAATAGCTAAACAAATGCAATAAATGTTTTTATAATTTATGTTATTATTTTATTTAAATTATATTTCAATTAAATAACTTAATCATAGTTATAATTAAAATTAACTAAAAGTACCAAATTGTGACATTCAAACAATGCTATAATATATTTTAAAATTATGATTATTATTATATTATTGTAATAATTTTTATGTAAATTTTAAGTGTTTCAAAGTGCCTTTAACGCTACCTAGAAAGTAAATTCAGCCAATATTATGTGGATTAATTGACAATAGGCTGTTGAATTATTAGAATTATGCACACCTGTTGTTTTATAAGCATATTTTTGTTTTTATGTATGTGTAGCCTAATTTGTAACCTATAATGCACACAAAAACAATTAACAAAAACAAACGTATAAACTTTTAATATAGATGCGATTAATCGTGTTCAGTTGTTACCCAGCATTCATTTCAAGACATTTGTTAGGCTTTTGTCCCCAAACATATCCCTTGTGTAGTTTTTTTTACTAATTTCATCCAAATACGTCTATGTTGTACTGATAATAATTATCTAATAATGTTTGAAAAAATGCTGGGTTCTTTTAACCCAATGTTGGGTCAGATTTTAAAAAAACTAACTTGTGTTTTATTTTCAGCTGCTATTAAGTGCTTTTCCATACTTAAGATACTTTTTCTAAAGTCTTAACACAAACTCTCACCTACAAAACACAATTGACCAAATGGATAATTTTCTTCTAAAAACACAATTTGTTAAATATATAATTACTCTTCATTTCAAAACAAAGCACATCTTTCTCTGCACCACTGGAAATCTGACTAAAAATTAAAATATTATTAGAGAGTAACACTTGTTTTCAATTCACAAGGTTTGTGCAGTCAATCAAACTACACCAGGTGTCAAAATACTGAATATGGTTGACATTACAAAAACCACAGAGACTTTTATGTTTCAGTTTTACAGGTATTTGCATGGCAACCCACTGTTTTGACACTAAAGTTCTTGGTTGGGAACTGTATGTCCACATGTACAGTTCACATTCAAAAGCATTCCAGTAAAAAGCAAATACATTTTTTTTTCTTCTCTTTACTGTTTACTACAGGGGCAATAGAAACATGGCATGATAGAACAGAAACGTTTTACAGCATTGCTAACAGTGAACAAAATATCCTTGAAACACACAAGAGCATTCTGAACAACAACAACAAAAAAGCAAAACGCCCTGATCAAAAAATAACAAATTAATATTAAAATAATAAACAAATTACTGTTTCTAATCTCTGCGATTTTCAGGGTTAGGCCACATGTTTTCATCAACATCACTCCTCAAAGTCCTCTTTTTACTGTATAAATGATATCATTCCAGAAACAGAGGTTTTTATACTGTATCTAAGGTTTGGAATATTGTAGTTGCTATTGTGGGATGTTGTGTGGTAACATTCATAACCACTACAAAAACAATCCATAATTTTGTTGGGAGGTACAGCTTGTCTGTTGAGCATTGTGGAAATGTGTTCACTGACTGCATGGTGGGTGAAAACGACATGAAATGTGTGAATGGTAAGGCCACAAAAGACCGATGCTGTGCTAACTGTGTTTAGAGTTTTGAAAATGTGGTTGGGCAAATGCTTGTTTGTGACTGAAAAAAAAAACTGTAAATAGAAAATTACTTCTCAAAATTAGATTAGGTTAAAACAACAACCCAATATCTTTATAATTACAAAATAATATATTTTTTATTTTTTTGAACAATAAAAATAAGTCAGCACATAAAACACGTAATTTTTAAAGGGTTAAGGTCATTTTCACAATTTGTTTTTCTAACAAACAAGATATATATAGTTATATATTTCATAAACATCATTTTAAATTATACATACATTTTAGAAATATTTAGGAAACATTCTGTAAACCGTTCTTTGTGTAAACAATCTCTTATTTGGGTCTCGCCAATCTACAGTTTACATAAAACAAGGAAAAACAAAACATCGTGTGCCATCCTGTGCCATCTGTATCCATGGTAATGAGCGTGCCTGTGGTTGACCGCTAGAGGCGCCCTGTCACACCTTATCGTCAACATACACAAACATGGCGTCAGGGCAGACACGCAAGATGCTGGCGCTCAGTCGCTGTGCCATATATCTATTATTATTACTAGTTCCCGCTGCGATCTCCTCCACACTTCGACTCCACCACGATCAGAGATTCGTACTACCACAGGACAGAGGTTTTTCCCTTGTGAGCGCACACCTGGAGCCTGCAGAAAGTCGCGTCGTGCGCCTGGAGAGAGAAGTCAGGGAGGCTTCAGCCGCGCATCAGCTTCGCGTTCGGCGGAATGCTGCTGGAGCGCCCGTGCCAAATGTTTATGGAATGGTAAGCTCGTTTTTTAATTTATTAGTCGGATTGCATTTAAGTTATTGTGACAAAAGCATCTTAACGATTAGCTGTTATGTGTAACCTCATGAAATATTGAATTTGGTTCTTCCAGTAGTTGTGTTTTGTATCATTCACCTTTGCTTCGCACGCAGTCACCTAGAAGTGTAATTGACCTGTTTGTCAGATGAAGGTTCTCGCACGACCGTTCAAGATTAAAACCTCCTAAAATGTTACTTCTCGTGTGAGGGGTTTTTAACTAAGGTGTTTTTGTAAAATTGGCTTGAGAACACATACGGGATGGTAAGGTTTCATCACTGCCCTGTTAATAAACATCTCACCTTTCTCTCAAATCGTAGGCTACCTGATGTCAGTAAAGAAACGTGATAGTAATATCAGATAAAAAAAAATTAAATGGGATACTAAAAGAAATGAGTTTTCTTGCAAAAATTTTTAATCTTGTAATTTTGTCAAGTAAATTAACAATTATTTAATATTACAGTTATACAAAGATCCTGTGCATATTAGTTATGTCTATATTTCACTTTCTTTATATATTTGTATATAAGAAAAAATATATAGAGAACATTTGTACAATCTCAGTTTCTCTTATAGTTAACTATGAGTAAAATCAAAGTTTTGTTTTGTTCTTTAAACTACTCATGGGATTACTTCCAAAATAAACTTTGAAATAAAAAGGATCACAATTTGTCATTGCAATTTATTTTGCTTGAAATGACAATTGGCCAAAATAGCAAACAATACGTTTTTACCAATGCATTACCAGTTTTGACATCAGTGTATGCAGGAGTAACCCTGATTTGCAAGACATTTGGTCAGCAAACAATCTTCAACATTTTAGTGATATCTGTCAGTAAATTAGGAGAAAAACTTTTTAAGTGTTCTCTTATAAAGTATATATATTTATACTCTTATAGAGTATAAATTTTGTTTCATTACATTAAGTCAAATCAAAATCTATTAAAAACGTATGCGAATACAAACGAAAAGGTAAAATGCCTAAAAATATCCTGACAAATATTTTGTAAATACAACTCTGTAGTGGGTGAGATAAAATCTCTGCTAATCCTATTCTTCATAGGGTATATGTATAAAATAACTTTTTTAGACTGAACAGCCTAATATCAGTTTCTTTGGAATAAAAAACAGACTCTGCTCATCTTCACTCCTATTAAATGTATGACAACTTGTTTACCATCAGGATGTTGCTTTGTTAAGCAAGTATTAACAAACTAGAGAGGCATAACTGGTTGCACAGTCTTGCTGGGAAACTTCCAGACTTACACTTACCCCTTCAAGTGTTCTGCGTTGAGATGTTTGTTTAGTCAAACATTCAACAGTTCCTAGTTTTTGCTTTTCCATTATGTCTTGAGATCTTCAAGGGTTCAAACCACTAAATTTTCTCTGAAAAACATATGTTTTTCTTCATATGGCTACATAAAAAGGGTTGTGATTGCCAGTACACATGCAGGTATCGTCTCCACTGTTGTGACTCAATTGCGATGATACAATCTAAAGTATTAGAAGGTGGTATGAATCTTGATAAGTTGGAGTTTTTCCACTACGAAACTAAATGAACATAAAATTAAGCTCCCAAAAAGCACCAGTGCCATATTAAAACTATTTTTGGTTCTCAAAGAATTCCATAATCATCACAGAAATACTTTCAGAACCTGTGCTGCTTTAAAAAAAAATCAACAAACACTAAATATTTTCCTTTTCAAAAAAACTATTGTGGAATCGAAATGATCCATAAGTTGTAAAAGGGTTGGAACCATACATGCAAACAGAGAACCTTGTATTTAGTGCCATTTGTAACACAAATAAATGAACAGAAGTGCATTTAAGTTATTTTCATACACTGTTTTGTGGTGACCTTCATATATATATATTTGTTGAATGTACTGTAGATACATTGTTGTTGTTTTTTTCCAGTGATTCATAATCAGAAAGATCTTTATTGCTAAGTGTTTATATACACAAGAGACTTGTTTGGTGACTGGAGCTTCAAGTGCAGATGGAAAGTACAGATATATTGCAGGCAGACATTCAAGTTAAATTAAAATAAATAAATGCAATGCTTACAATCAGGAGAATATAAAGAAAATATAGTACAATATTGACAAATTACAAATGAATAAACCTGAAAATCACTCATACTGTCAGAAAAGTCAACACATTAAGAGGGTATTGTGCCGTCTTATAATTCTTTTCTATCAGCGGGCTGCAACTAAGATTAGTGACTTTTCCCCTTTTCACCCATAGTGTGTTCAGGAAATCCTCTATGAGGTGTCCTGGATGGAGGCCATTGCAGTTGCTATGAGGTGAATTACCCCCTCAGATCACCCAATTAAGATCTCCCATCTGTGCCCCCCCTCTTCCTTCCTTCCCGCTTTCAGACCTTTTGGTTTATGTTTTTTTGGCACAGACAGAGAAGCAGTGTTAGGTAAGCGGTAACAGCCATCAATCCACTCTTTTTGTCTGTTGTGATGAAGTAACCTCGAAAAAGTGCTCCGGTCTGCCAGACAAGGATTTACACTGTTTTAAAGAGTATTCTGTTGTTTTTTGCAGACCTGTTATGACATATAATTGCTCACCAAGTTTGGGGAATTGTGACAGAGTCATAATCATAAATATGCTATTCAACACCACACTCCAAGAGCAGCACTTGAAGGCAAATGCATTGGCAGACTTTTACAGTGTTTTTGTTTGAAAATAAATCCCATCATTTTATTTTCAATCAGACACATTTCTTTATACCTTTTGTACTGTTGAAGGCTCTTCCTTCTTTCACAATTTAGTGGGAAATATTTCATAATTTGACCCAGCAGCGGCAATAGAGCAATTATTAATTTTTAGAAGAATGCTATACATTCAAAACAAGATTTCCAGGAAATGTAATTAAATTTATGGACCTTGGTTTTTGATCCCTTCTGTTCCCTTGTTTATTAAGCCATGTTAAGTAGACTGCTGGCAAACAAATGTGGTTTTGCTCTACTATGTAAAGAATGTAATGTAGAATCATTACCATAAAGTAATTCCTAGAAACTAAATGAGCTGTGACAATCCCTCACTTCTCACAGGAGAAGCCTGGACTAACTCCACGAGTCTAAGTCATGTGAAGTCAGTAATCTTATTTAGTTATTACTTTTAAGGTCCTTTTTTTCCCCAAATGCAGTTTTATTGTCAGTTTGTTTTTTTGGATATAATGTTTTTTTGTTTCTTGTATTCGGTTGTTTTAATTTTAAAAACAAGTTGTATTCATCAAAAAGCATTTTCATAGCTTATTTATACCCTAAATGTGTTGAATTTTACAACCACATGAATGAGGAACAAATGCCGAACAGTTAGCATTATTGCATTAGTATAGCCAACTGGAGACAATTTTGATTAATGTGACATGAGTTTAAACATCACAACATTAGCTCAAACATGTGTTTTGGTGAAAGATATTGTTATTTTAGTCCTAGTGTGAAAACTAGACATGCACCGAAATGAAAATTTTTGGCAAGGCTGAAAACTGAAATAAATTATGCCAATTATTAGTACCATTGCATTTATGGCTATGACTGTGTACTTGACTGTGTACTAACTAGGGCTGGGCGATTAATAGAAAAGTAATCGAAATCGACATTCAGAACTAATAATCAATCTAATTTTTCCAGATCAATTAATTTTTTTCATTTACTTTCCTTACTACTTGTGGAATCACGTGACCCCGCATACAAGGCATGTTGTAAAAATGTAGCTACTAAACAAAACAATGTTCAGCACTTTGCAGCCAAATCTGATCTTTGGTCAAGTAGGATGATGGACTTGCTCTTGAGCCTTACTTTGCACTACAGTACTAACCATACTAAAATCGAGGCATTGCAATTGCAAAAATTAATATAAAAATTTGAAAGAGTAAATTAATTTATTACATTTCCCAATAAATTCATCAATAAATTCAGTAAATTCAGTAATATCCACTAATTTTTACATAGTAAATCAAATGAAGTTAAACGATTAAAAGAATTGCTACACATTTTTTTGACCCTGAACTACAAAACCAAATTTAAAACAATTTTAGTATCAGTTTTGCTTAAGTTGCACATTAGTTTGATTTAAAGCTGATTTATACCTCTGCATCAAGCGTATTGTAATGCTACGGAGCAGCCTACGCGTGGACTCAAAGCCCTCTCTGTGGCTGTTGGTATCACTGATGCGCACCTCTCAAAAAATGTAACAAGCTCTGTGATTGGTCAGCTTGGTAGCGCTTACAAGTGTGGGCGGGACCGAGAGTGTTGCGTGTTCATTAGAGCGAGTGTTTACAAATGGTGATTCCTGTGAAGGAGCTTCAGATGAAAAGTTATTTTGTGTTTACCTTTTGGTTAAAGTTGCTGCACCTCCGCTGGTTCCTGCCTTGAAATTAGCGAGTTTGAGCCACTTGTACATTAAGGAAGCGTTGAGAAAAAACAAAACACCAGAGAAAAAACTCGACACAAAAGAACATAAACACCTTACTGCCAGCTAGCGAATGGGAAGTGCTATTACAGAGGAATACAAACAGCGAGCAGAAGTGTAAATGCATGGCAACACGCAAAGCTTGCGCTGTGGGTCATGCCAATCACTTAACGCAGAAGTATAAACCAGGCTTTAGTCTCTCTACAATCAACGCGGTCTGGATCATTTTGCGGGCGTGCTGCTTTATTTCTGCATTCAAGTTGTGATCTCAATATTGCAGATCAAGTACAGTGGCGAGGAAGAGCAGAGGATCCGAATAGATAAAACAGGCACACATGCTGAGAGAATTTATAAATGGACGCATGTAGGTCACGTGAACATGACAAAATGGCGGATGTAGTAAATCCGAATTTCATTCATAGAAAAATGTAGAAAAATGACTCGTGGATGAAATGTGTAACACATGAGTTTAAACCAACATGATCTCACAGCACTTTTTTACTTTTTGATTTAGTGGGTAATATGAATACATA